CACTGTCCACATGCATAAAAAAAAAACAAATAAAAAAATAAAATTTATTTAAAAGAGTGCAGAGAAAAATTACAACACATTTATCAAAGTGTTCGTGCTCGAAGTTTTTCAAGCAATGAACACTGAACTAGTGTGCGAAATACTCGCAATGCTCAGAAATTTTCGAAGAAATAATAGAAAAAATAAAAATGGATTTTTAAAAGCTTTTGATAAAATGACTAATTTTTTTTAACTCTGTTGCCAATTTTTAATTATTCATAATATTTTATTTTCAAATTGTAAAAATTTATAATGGTATATGGATGAAAAACACAAATCCATTTAAAAATCCAAAAAAATAATTTTATGTGGTGGTCGGTTTTGGAAAGATTGGCTTGATAGGCAAAATAAATAAAATCAGTTGTAGTACATATAGACAAATAACTTGGAATTTACTTAATTCATTTTATGAAGGTACACAAATTTAGATCAAAAATTAATCCCAATTCATTTCTCTTGCAGCATCACTCTTACCAACAGGTGCTACTTTGGACTTAGTACTCAGCTGAAAAGTGAAGTCCTTTTTCGTACAATAAAAAAACCAAACTCTACAAGGTGCTCATCATTTCCGTACTACGCTATGGCGCGAAATTGTGGACATTGACAGCATCCGATGAGTCAGTTTTAGCAGTCTTTGAGAGAAAGCTTATGCGGATAGCATTCATATAGTTTAGTGAATCCAGTGACAGCGGCTAGACTGGCTTGTTCACCTTCTCTCTAGCTTTGAAAGTATTCAATCCAGTACCTACTACCGGAGGTAGAAGATGTTGAAGACCTTCACTACGGTGCAAAGGTTCTGGCTTTATTTGTTGTCACCAATCAGCCCCGAACTGCTAACGAAGAAATGACCGACACTGTATTAATAATTCGGCTATAATCGTGTTATACTCCAACCAACCAAAAAGCATAACGACTCAGCTGCGAGTGACAGATACGTAAATGTTGTAAAAGTTACCTCCGCTTGTCAATGACGTTAATGACGTTTGTTCCATTAAACCAGCATCGATTTCATTTTTTCCGTAAAGCTGACCCAGCTGATTGATTGCATTTATATAAGGTTGCCAGTGTGGACTTTTATAAATGAATTTTAAATAAACTAAGGAAATGCACATTTTTCCCAAAATAAATGAATTCTGAAATTCTAATTAATTATTGCAATTATTTGTATTTTTTTTACAAAAATTATAAATTTATTTAATAGAATTCAAGAACCTTAGCGGCTGGCAACATTTCGCGTCGGTAACTTGTGTGTATGCCTATTCCTCTTCCAGTAGGGTAGTGCGGCTGGGAGGTATGCATGTATGATGCCTAGTTTGGCTATAAGCATTGCCTACCTCCAAGAGAAGAAGAACAACTCTTTTGCGTAACAAATCACTAATTTTAACATCAGCTAATGTAGCGAGCATTGTGTTTCTTTATTCATAATATTATCAATACTATGTATGCATATGAGATCTGTCAATTGTGCATTAATTGATTTTAGCACTTCTATGTCTGCTCAAATCAGTTTTCCTGTTCAATAATTACCATTATTAGGTTTTCCATATCACTTTACTATGTTTTATTAACAAAACTGTTGCGGTTTTTTTTTTATTAATAATGTAAGGCTGCTAGTATTACAATCAACAATGTATGCATTCACATTAGGGTGGGACAAAATCCAACCTATCGCATTTATGGTCTCAAATTAAATTTCCTACTGAGAAAACAATAGTGCAGGGATTTCTTACTAAATTTTTTAAATATTTTTGGAATAGAAGGCTACGCAAGTGCAAAAACATTTATTTAATTCATTAATTTTTTCTGAAAAATTTAAATAAAGTTGCAAAATGTTGGAATAAGGAGTTATATTCGTGAGCCGCCCTTTTTTCAAAATCAAATGTTATAGTTTTTGAATTGAAAGCTTGAAGTTTTGCTATTAAGAAAAGTTGAGTTGACTGAAAATTGAAATATGTTACCATAGAGTTAACCATTTCGTGCTTTCAAAAGTACTTCCATATACAGTCCAGCACACACAACAACTGAAGCCAGCTGACTATTCACAAAATCATTTGACTGTTTAAACAACAAGTAGTGGACGGCGATTTTTCGAATAAAGTTTTCGTCATCAATGAGACACATTTATCACTCGGTTGGCCGACTTCTAGCAGACCTAGGAATCCTTTTATAAGGACTCAGCCGGATCAAATATTGTCCCAGATATTTCTAAAAGGATTTTTTAGGCTCTGCACGCCACACAGAGAAAGTAAGATGTACCTGGACAGCTGCTCTATTCTCTGAACCACATCGCAGTTGGCTAATGCATTAGAAAAAACTCTTACCTATGGACTAATCACATCTGTATGGATCTGCTCTAACAAGATAATTAAATCAAAATTATTATTTACATTTCACAAGCAAATGACTTGAAGAAACTCATCGGGAGACACTTGAGGGTAATACTTAGTTTTGCACTGAAATTCATCGCATAAATTTGCTGCTTCTGTTTAGTTGCCAAATATTTTTCTTAAGTATTTTATAACACCAGATTTTCTTATATACATTTCTATAACCCCATTATCTACACCCAAAACAAAAAATCTTAATGTCTGGTGTGCGCTTTGGTCCGGAGGTGTGATTACAACTTAGTCTTTTGGCAACGCCAATGACGAAATTATCACTGTCAGGCGTTACAGTCCTATGATAACTAACTTATTTCGGCTTGCAGTTGAGTAGAACGACTTGGATAATATGTGGTTTCAACAATATGGTGTCACATGCCACAAAAAAACCGCAAAAATGGTTTTGATGCGAGAGAAAGTACCCTTCTGCATTATCTCTTTTTTTTTATGGAGCTACGCGAAAGAGCGTGCTTATGCGGATAAACCCTCAAGTCTCGAGCACTGGAAAACCTACATCCGTCAAGTTATGACTGAGATACCGCCCAGGAATGTGGCAAAAAGCGAATGAAAATTAATTCATCAAGCGACTCCAAGCTTGTAAAAATTCGCGAGGCGGGCACTATAATATTTCACATATAAAGCCAAAGCTCAGGGTTTATAATAAAAAAAAATTTCATTAAAAAAAAAATTGGTTTATAATTCTTTTCGAAACGGCTAAAAAATTTCTGAAACAAAAAAAAAATATTTAAATCTATATGTATGTATATATGCATATATATGGAAATTACTACGATGCTAGTGTTTTTAGTTCACATTTTCGAAAATTGCCGCCATTTTCACGTTGTTAGGTTCGCATGTAATTTTTAAACAAAAAATCTTCTTTAAGAAATAAGCATCACGTCTAGCCCACTGTAAATATGACGAAGTTATATATATGACTGTTGGTGTAACCTTCCTTTCTTCAAATCTTGATTCGAGGATATTATTTCTCCTTTTTTTCTTGGACACTATGATACAAAAAGGAAGGTAGTTTCACTCAATATAAAATGACAGAAAAAGATTTTTTTTAAATTACATCTTATTTTGATATTAACTTCAAGATATTGCCACTTTAAAAATATATATTAATATATATTTTTTTTTCATAAAAAATTGCTAAGCCGCCTGAAAAGAGTTTTATTTCCATTAGATTTCAGCAAATACTATGCAGGACTTTGAGTCTTTTGTGAGTAAGTTTTATTTTTCTTTACATTTTTGTTTTCTTTGAAAGGTTTTGAATTTTTTGTAATATACATATTTGCTTTTAATTGTAGAAAGTTGAAAATTCAATTTATAAAAACTGAAATTGGTAGCACAAAAGCAAAAAAAAGTTAAAAAATAGTTTTATGTCAGCTGGTTAATATAATATTTTTGAAAAAAAAATTTAGAGTCAATCTATCTTGTTTTTTTGTATTATGAGCACTCCGTTGTGAACATTTCAATTTTTAATTTTTGTTAAATAAATTAAATTAATAAATAATTAATAAAACTTTTTTTTGGTATTTTATAGATCAAAGATTAAATTACACAAATATTTAACCAAGATTATTCGCCTAATGGTATGCAATAAAAAAAGGTATTAAAACACTGGTATAAAGGTTTTGATTTAAATCGCCAGCAAATTTATTCTAACTCACTTTTTAAAATTGTAAGCTCTTTAAGAAAAAATCGCGTAGCGTATCTTTTTTTCTCACTCTTTAAAAAATGCGTCACTGTGAATATTTTCAATGCCGGTATTAACGATATTTAGCCGTTATTCCTATTTTTTATTTTAAGTATATTCCAATGCTATTCTTTCGTCCGTCTAAACCACTTTTACGCTGAATATCAACTAATTCACTCGCATTTTCACAATCACTTATATACGAATTGGCCAACAAGCGCACAAAAGTTCTATTAATTTACAAACATACATACAAACATGTACACATACCAGTATTTACAGCAGTATGCATGGACGCTGACATGTGAGCATGGGTATATCTACATATGTACGTGTATGTATGTATGTACTCATACCCTTACCCATAGTAAACGTAATGAGTAACAGCAAAAATGACGTCGCTAACAAAGATCCAAGAAATGTCGCTAAGAAAAAGTATCTTATTGTGCTCCAGAATTTTATTGTACCTACGTTTGTAAGGCGTAATTAATCTTTCACACTATAACGCCAGGTAAACAACGTTGTGAAACAACAGCTACATATACATACATACACACATATGAACCTACATACACAGGTTAAATACGAAGTGAATGTGGAATTTTGTTTATTTTATTTTCACTTGGCTAAAACTAATCTTTGGCGATAGTGGCAGCGGTAGGTGGCAGACGGCAGGTGGCAGACAAAATATCATAAAATTTTAAAGCTTACTTATCTGAGACTGCATTGAGTCAGGGATGCTGCAGTGGGCTCATATATATAAATATATATATATATATATTTTTTTTTTGGTTTGCTTAATCAACAGAAAGACAGGAAACACGTATCCTTATTTGTGTTTCGGCTATAATTAAAATAATTTGTACAAACATACATACGTGTAAATTTAGCTTTCTTGTAATAATAATGTCAAATAAATTCCCACATGCTGTGACAGTAAATTACGAGTAATTGTCCATGAGGGCCTTGTTAGGCGAGTGGTTAACATTGCGTACTGCCATTTGGAAGGTCACGGTTCGAGTCCTGGTCCGATTAACATCTAAAAATTAAAGAAAAATATTTTTTTCAATTGAAGTCATCCCTGTGTAGCGAGTCCTCCGAGGGCATGAAAATAAAAAGCTTCTCATAAAAAATCCTTTAGTTGTTCGGAGATGGTTTAGTATAAATTGTTGGTCCCACAAATTGAAGGAGAGGCTCGGCCAAAAACCGCTTCAGCGGTAACGTGCACCAATATATGTATGTATGTATTAATAGCATTATCCGTGTAACCTACTACTATTCATACAAGCAGCGTCATTTGTAGGCTGAAGTGTGCGTGCAGGGCTACTTTTTCATTTGAAGCTCATTAGTGTATTTAATACAAAATGATTAAAACTCTAATTAAGTCATTAGCAGCTATAGATTTAAAAAGATATTTAACACTATTGTCATTAACACAGTTTTTAATTTCGAATAACAACTATTCTGTGCAGCACATGTGATTTACGGTAACGACATTAAAGCGATGCTTTGAAACAAATGCTCTGGAACAGGTGTTTCATAATAAGGAAATTCGTGTTTATATTATAGGCGGCCGCAATAGCCGAGGGTTTAGCATACTTCTTCTTTTTTATTGGCGTTGATACCGCTTACGCGACTAGAGGGGCTAGCATTAGGTACTAAAATAAAGAAGGTCGGGGTTATAGTCCTGCTTTGATTTTCCAAAAGGTTCAATATATGCCTAAATTCCCATAAGAATCCTAGATTTTTCTTTCATTCCTCCCCTTTCTCTAAAAATTCGAAAATACAACGTTGAGCCAAGGCAGTGTCAAAGTCTATATCTTATCTACTTACCTCGCCTGTTTATTACTTCCTTATGGATTCCTCCAAAAAGGTTTTTTAAATTTTGTGGGTTTGGAGAGTAGGTTTCTTAAAAAGATTTTTCTTGGATATGTTGCTAATGACTTAACGAAGATTTAATGTGATCCTTCTAAAATGTGTTTATTTGGACTTCTTCCAGAGTTAGTCTCTCTCTTGACAACTTGATTTAAACTCAGTCTGGCTTGCCATTTCATAACGAACAGACTTGCTACGGAACAGCGTTGAAAAATCGTGAAAGCTTATGATCAAAAGCTCGCGCTGCGTCCATTATTTCACACAACATTTACTCTAATGAATAATGCACATGCTTGGAGACCCCGTAAACCTAAGGCACCCTTGCTGCTGTAAAGCAGAGTATCGAAGAAGACCCAAATGAGTCCAACCGCCTTCGCCCCACAACAATCGGAGATATGCTCATCCAACTTATACAAAAATTGAAGACGAACGACTATCCCGTGTGGATCCAGAGCTCCTGATTTTCACAAAGAAAATTTTGTTCGACGTTGACGCATCCACAAGTCATTGTTAATACGCAGTTACATCCTCAAAAAGTTACTGTTTGGTGCGCCTTATGGACGGAGCGAATTCTTGGCGCGCGTTTCTTCAACACTGAAGTCGGTTATAAAGCTACAGTCATCCGGAAACGCTTTAGAACCATTACAAAAATTTCAGATAATGACAATTCGTCGTCGTAATCGGAGGTGGAGGAGAAAGTTAATGTGGAAGACCTTTGGTTTCAGCAAGACAGCGCTATATGCCATACAGCCAAGGAAACAATCAATTTATTGAAGAAAACTCTTTATGACCGCATTATCTCGCGTCGTGTGACTGTAGCATGGTCCCTGGGTTATTTTTTGTGGCGCTATGTGAAGTCGCTTGTCTACGCAGATAAGCCCGAAACACTTGACGCCTTGAAAGATAATATTCTGCGCGTTAGTTCTGATATACGGCCGCAATCGCTACAAGAAGTGGTCGAAAATTGGTCCTCTCGGTTGGAATTTATCACTGAACCGCAGCGGTCACTTGACCGAAATATTTTAGACACTTAATCGCAAACACTTATGTTTATAATACAACGAAATTCTTGGCTTTAAAATTTTCTTTCTGCCTCTAAAAAACACTTTATGAGTAAAGCAAGAGATAATGAGTGATATTAGCATTTCCAAGAAGGCCGTGAGGACTTTGAAGATGTCGAAAGCACTGGATAATCAAGTTCAATGAAAACGTGAAACAAGTTATGAACGTTCACCGGCTTACAATTGTAGAAATCGTTAATGATATTCTCGTTTCAGTTGGATTATGTCATCATATTTTTCTTCCAAGGATTAGGCATAAAGCGCATGGTAGCAAAATTTGTTTGAACAAATGAAAATTGCTCGGAAGTCACTAAGGTTATGCTCACACTGTTCTTTGAATATAATAGCACAATGCACATTATGGATTTCTGCCAATAGGTCAAACGGTCAACTAGGAGTACTACCTAAAAGTACAATGCCTCTTGCTCAAAGCAAACCGGAAAAAGCCAACGGATTTGTGAAATAATGTTCATGGCTTTTTTAATACGCTACTTTTCCTGCTCACTTCATTCAATATTTGTGAGTGAAATTTTGTACAAAAAGCAGTACTTTAACAATGCCCCAGCCTCCATATTCGCAAGAGATGACTCCGTTCGACGATTTTATATTTCCAAAAACAAATAGAACCTCTACCTAACCTCTAATACCATTCAACACAAAGGTCCAGTTTTAGAACTGTTTCAGCGCTTGGACGCAGCATCGACTCGTGTGCGTAATCTCTAACGAGAACTATGTATTTTGATGGCTACAACATCAGTGTAGACGGACAGAAAAATATTTTGCACAAAAAATGAATAGGGGTATTCTTTTAGTCTAGAATACGGTTGATGGGTGCACGGTTTGCAACTTTTTTCTATTCGTGTAAAAGCACAAAAATTAAACGCGTGCCCAAAAATATGCTACAATAAGAAAAATATCTTATACATACGTGTATATATTTGTTTCCACAGTTTGACTTGAATTTTCCAAAATCATATAACTGAGATGCTACCGTTCTCTATCAAATTTTTCCAGCACATACATGTTGGCAAAGCACGCATTTCCTATACTAAGAAAAAAGCCCTAATATTCTTGCACTTTTTTTAACACATCTCGTAAGTCTATCTCTACTCATCGTCAACGAGAGAGTATGCTATTGCTATTACGAAGCTGGATTAACAATCCATACTGATCAATTGTAGAGAACATCAAGTGGACATCTATGCTGGAGCTGGCTGAGTTTCAGCTGAACTGGCAATATATAATGAGATCCGTTTGTGAGCAATCAACAGGGTCAAATATTATCTCACAAATTTCTAAGAGTAATAGTAAATGGTCTTTGAATTTACAGACCCCGCACGCCATACAAAAGTAAGCAAGTTGTGTCTTGCAGCTGCTCTATTCTCTGAACCACAACACAGCCGTGTGATGCACCAGAACTCTTACCTATGCAGACCATATGGACTAATCACATCTGTATGGGTCTGCTCTAACAAGATAATTAAATCAAAATTATTATTTACATTTCACAAGCAAATGACTTAAAGAAACGCATCGGAAGACACTTGACGGCGATACTCAAGTTTTGCACTGCAATTCATAGCACGTATTTCCTGTCTTCGTTTATTTGTCAACTATTCTTAATCACTGTGTAACACCAGATTTTCTTATACTCATTCCCATATCTACAAATCTCTCTTTACAGTTTTCAGCCTCAAAAGATTAAAACTTTTTGATTTAATACGTCTCACAGTTGTTTAGTCACACTGAAACATAATTTTGTGAAAACATTTTTTTTCATTAATAATTTTTATTTACTTTTTTATTTTGATAATTTATTCCATGTTCTCTTGCTCAGCTTAGTTTAAAAGTCTCCTTTGTATTGTTTGCTTTTTTCTTTTTTAATATTTAAATAATTGGCACAATTGCTTAGTTTAATGGCTTGTTGCAATAATAACCAACTAAATGTATATTAAGCAATAAAATTATTTTTGATTTTTGATTTCAACAGCTGACGTCTGTTGCAGTTGCGCGTGTAATTGCAGTTGTTCGCTGCTTTGGCTTTAATTTCGGAGAAAAATCAATAAGTGAATGGTGATTATAATCTGTCTTGTCGGCCAACTCAAGAGAGCAAAGCTATCGATGTGTATGTGTGTATGTGTATTTTGTGCTCCAGCATAAACGAGAGTAGCATTTACTCACGCTGTTTAATTGATAAAACATTTTTGAGAAATATTGTTAACCACTGCTTATGTATGTACAAGAAGTTATTATAGTTTTGTTCATTTTACGGTTGTTGTCTAGCTACAAATAGCTCAGCCAAATGAGACAAAAAAAAAAAAAGATATTGAATGTAGGATTGGTCAAAACACAAATCTGAAAAGTCTTCATCGATTTGGCGGCTGGAAAAAATTCCGCTTATCCATACAAAATGTGTTCTTTCTAAGAGTCATCACGTCAGGGAATTAATGACTGAAAAACTTGGAAGCAGCAGCACTCTATATGGATCTAAAAAAAAAATTTTTGCCCTGACCAAAAGTGGAGTTCTCAAAACTGAGGAACCGTACAACTTTGCTTCCGCCATTTTCCAAAAGGTGGCTGTACCGGCTGACGCTGGTTGAAATACATAAATGATAATGCCTTTAAAATGAGTGTGGACAGTGCCTAACGAATTGTCATCGCCGTTTCAGTGACAGTTGTTCTTGTTTTCGTATTATTCACGCTCGAAAATGTCCGTTTATGTGCTTAAAGTTTTACTTTTCTGTTACAATTCGAAAAAAAAAAAAAAAAAATGCAGCTGAAGCGCATCGAATGCTCTCAGAAACTTACGGTGATGCTGCTCTGACTGAAAGAACGTGTCGGGAGTGGTTTCAACGTTTTAAAAATGGTGATTTCGATGTCGAAGACAAACATGGTGGTGGAAGAGAAAAAACCTTCAAAGAATTACTACGAGTTCTTAAAACCGGGGAAACCATCACAGGAGATCGCTACCGAACGCAACTGATGCGCCTTAGTCGCGCGCTGAAAGAAAAGCGGCCACAATATCAAGATCGACATGACAAAGTCATCCTCCAACACGACAATGCTCGGCCTCATGTCGCAAAAGTGGTCAAAAAGTAGCTGGAAACGCTGAAATGGGAAGTCTTGCCCCACCCGCCTATTCCCCAGATGTCGCCCCTTCTGACTTCCACCTATTCCGTTCGATGGCACACGGCCTGGCAGATCAAAATTTTCAATCCTTCGACGAATTTAAAAAATGGATTGCTTCATGAATAGCGTCAAAAGAGGACTCCTTTTTTCGAGCCGGGATCCGAGAATTGCCGGAAAGGTGGGAGAAAGTTGTCGCTAGCGAAAGACAATACTTTGAATAATATATCTGAAAGCACTTTTCGCAATAAAGCTTTTAATTTTGGAAGAAAAAACGGCGGAAGCAAAGTTGTACATCTAATAATTAAATGATTTAGGTTCCTCTTTCTGTCTGCAACTTCTACCGAACTCGTTAGATGGTACGTCCAACCACTCTGCATGCATGTCCTTTAAGAATACCTTTAACTGTATATGTATATTTTCTTTTAAGCACGCTAAAGTCACATGCTCCTCCTATGTCCCATGCTGATACATTGTCCTGGTCACATTGTACGTATTGAGATTTCTCCACCTTGTCTCAGCATCTTTGATGGATAACTCTCCCAGAGTGAGCTTACAAGTGAAGAGTCTAACTTCTTCCATAATGGCGCAAGTTGGAGGAAGCGCGCTTACTTGCAAGTTCGTTAACATCTAATTACCCGGTATGTTACTGTTTCCAAGCACCCATAACAAGTTCAAAGAGATCAGCTTAACCACAAATTAAGTGATCTGGGGTTCTCGATTTTTACAGAGATTCCAGAGCTCTTAATGTGGCTTGGCTATCTGGAAAAATTACGTTTTTCTGAGGGCACCACTGAGCTGAGACAATTGGCAGCCTCATATATAGCCGCTGATTCCACGTGAAAAATAACCCAGTGATCCGGTAATCTCTCTTGAGGAAAACCGCCACCAACCCTGTTATCTAGTTTTGAACTGGTATTATCCTGTCCCATTGATTTCTATCCGAAATGATTGAAGTAAGTAAATGATGTGGAGTAATCCATCTTTTCTAGTAGACGGATCCTTCTTAAGATATTAGTATGCCTGTGGCTTGTTACTTTCCAAACGGATACTTTTGTAGCCTTACCGCGACACAAGCAACATTATGCAGCCCCACAATGGCAATGGATAATGCTTCGAAGAAGCCATACATGGCCTCAGTTGGTGTGGTACGCAATGCTCTATTAACTGCACAGGAATGTTGCCCTCTGCACTCTATGCAATATAGTGGTGCCTGATTTTTCTCACCTGTTGGCCGCCAGACGACAGCTCCATAGAGGAATATAGACCTAACAACTGTTATGTAAAATCAACACACTATTTTACGTTACATTACCCATTTCTAGCCTATTGCGCTTTTGTAAGTATAGAGGACGATTGACTAGCTAAATTTCCTGTCCAGAATTGTCACAGATATTTTTTGGCCCCAGCTCCGTTCTTGGGACCACTGATATTGTAAATTTTGGAATTATAAATTTCAAAGTGAAGTGGACAATATCTGCTTCCTGTGGGCTAATGCCTAATCCAGCATCATTAACCCCCTTTTGTATTAGTCTTAATCTGCCATGCATGACACCACATTATGGTTGTGGGAATTTTCCATTCGCAACAACCTCGAAATCATCCGCATACGCTACGAACTTGCAATCACCTTTCTCCTCCTTGTCGCTCAGCAATTGGTTTATGGTTGAAACTCATTGAGGAGGCGAGAGGATTCAACCTTGTGGGCCTCCTCTGTTGACATACCCTTGGGATACTTCACGGAGAGGATAATTTCTTTTAAGTTCGTTTCAATCAAGCAATTCGACCATAACCGGTTCCGAATTCATCATCAAATTTTCAACCTCTTAGGTGTGCAATTGCGATAAATCTATTTCAATAATTTTTTTGAACTAAGATTTAGTTGAGTGTTACATCAGATTGAATAAATGAGTTTAATTCACCATTTTTCCTAATACGAGCTTTAGAACTAAAAAATTATTTCCAAATGACAAAAGAGTTTAAATAAATTTACACAGAAATTAGTTGAAATTTTACAAAATATCACTCAAAATCCGCTACTTGGCTCTGCCCTAACTTGAAATATATACACATATGTGTGTTGTATTATTGTGGTAGGTCGGAAGATTTGCTTGATAATAACGTAATAATAAAGGCAAGAGTGGTAATTTGGTATTATTAAAATTTCTCGTAGAGCGTTCAAGCGTTAATTTTAAAATTTTCACGTTTTTCGAAATCATTCGTATACGTCAAGTGGTTCAAATAATATAAAAAATGTTTGCTCTTCATAATTTGTTAATATTGGAACATAATTATATATTATTAATTGCTATTAAGCATATTTATTGGGGTTGATGTTTCGATAAGTAGGTACTACTCTCCAGGTATTGAGACCGTTCCATATAAAAAATAAATAGCAAAAAATTAAATTCAAAATTTTATTTTAGAAATTTCAACCAAACAATAACTAAATAAAGTATTAATCAAAAAAATTAATTCATTTATATCTATAATATTTTTTTTATAATTTTTCAGTTCTTACTAGAAACACAATTTTACGAAGGAACAGTGTAATATAAAAATGGAAAACGCAACGAATATGAATTTAATTCACAATATTCAATGCATATGAAAGTAGCTAATACTAATAATTGTCATAAGAATATTTAGTCTTTTTGTTAAAATATAAATGATTTCTGATGAAATATTGAATTCACCTCAAATAACTTCATTTCAATTGGAATCTGGCGAGTATTGTGGACTTGCAGGACTATTGGGGCTGCTTGGACTGATGGGCGACATTGGCGAATCTGTGCGACCATATATGGGACTTGCAGGAGAGGATGAATAAAAACTAGGACTAAGAGGTGAGTAATTGATATTTGATTGGGATGTGTTGGAATAAGTGGGGCTAAGAGGGCTAAGAGGGCTGCCCGAATATTGTGGACTAGCTGGTGAGTAACGATTTGAATTGGGTGAATATGTTGGTGATGTAGGTGAATAAGCTATCGTGGAACCGGCTGAGTATCGTGGACTTTGTAACGCTGCTGTATATTGAGGTGGCGAGCCTGGTGGTATGAAATGCATTTGTGGTGAAGATATTGTTGGAGAGTAGTTAATAGTTGGGCTCAATGGCGAATACTGTGCTGAATTAGCCATATAAGATGGGCTTACAGGCGTATAACTGGGACTAGAAGGATTATAGCTAAGCGTTGATGGCGAATAACGTGGTGTTTGTGCAACATAATTTGGACTTGACGGAGAGTAGTGTGCATATATAGGACTTGTCGGTGAGTATGTGGCAGAGCTTGAAGGTGTGGCATTATTTTCGGCAAAGAAATACGGTGTAGCACGATATTTTTTGGGTTGTACACGCTTCAAAGTTCTACAAGTTATTGAAGAAGATGTCTCTAAATTTTCTGGTGTATTGAGCGGTGAAGACGGTGAATATAGCGATTCATTATTACTTGTTGGTGAGCTGGGAGAAAAAGTGCTGCATCTCTTTGAACTGATAGCAGTTGGTGAATAGGATGGTGACGTCGGTGAGTAGTTATTTGTTTGTGGTGAATAACGGGGTGAAGTCGGCGAATAGCGCTTGGAACCTATAACGCTGGCGCATGACATTGTTGGACTGGCTGGTGAATAAAACGTTGAGCTACTATTCGATGGCGACTGTGGCGAATGCACTTGAAGATAATGGTGATAATGCGGTGAGAATTCTGGTGAGCTTGGTGAATATTTTGGCGATTGCATCACCGTAGAAAGCAAATCATTGCTACCTGATGAGTTATTCGATACATTTGTGTATGCATTTGGATCATATAGCGGTGACATGGGTGAGTAGTGTGAGGAACCACCATAATATGACTTAAGCGATTCGGCCGATGGCGAAGAATATGGTGAACTACAAAAATCATCCACGTTCATAGTAGGTGAACTTATATTCGATGAAGGCGAAAAGCAGGCTGAACGTGCCGATTGTGGTGTTAAACCATCGCTTATACCAGGCGAAAACTCGATCATGCCACTACGTCCGCTGCCTGGTAAAGTATGTGGCGTAAAAATAGAACCGTAAAATAAAGCATTCTTGTTATTCATAGAATCCACTTCCATAGCGAATTTGCATTTGGAAGCGTCAAGTACCATGTCGAAACAACCGGTGCCAATAGGTGGCATTTGGCCCATTATAATGTTTTCGGAGACGCCACGCATGGCATCCCGTTCACCATGCGCTGCTGCATCCATTAACACATCAACTGTTTCCTCGAAAGAGCAACGCATTAAGGGACCCGTTTGCTGGCGATTGATACCATGACGTGAGATAGCCATCAAGTGGCCCTTGGCAGTCATAACGTCACAGAGTAGCGCCAAATGGCGATAGTTCACGTATAAGCCTGGAAATATGTAAGTACAATATTAGTAAAAGAGGTAATATTTGTTATGGAAACTGCCATTGAAACTCACCATAAAACTGCAGCACGTTATTCATTTCCTTTTCAATCGATTTACGAACAGCCTCTATGCCCAAAACGGTAAACATTTCACAAATATCATTACTGAAGGTGCGTGTTTGATCGACATTCCGCTCGCTCAGCACTCGCATCAACGCTGTACCGTCAGTTTCCAGCAGCCACTCAGCCACCGATTTGAACTCACCCGTTTCGGTAATGTAGATCCGCTTCTTATTTGTTACCTGCGGTAAATGCATATACACCTTGGAAATCGATTCGATACCCTGCAATGTCATGTCGGACAACATGTTGCTCTCAATGCAGCGCAAGAACATATCGTCATCTAGACGAGTAAGCGATGCTTCCTCCTCAGCCAAATCGGCGCCTTGAAATTTACTTTCGGAACTAGTTGAGTTCATTATACGTATACGCATTATCAGGCGCTGTGCATTATCGTCATTAAAAATGCACTTGAGATCGTCACCGAAGGATGCGGCAATGCGTTCGGCAATCAGTTCCATTGTGAGCTTCTTCTCGGTCATATGCTTGCGATCGAGTTCGATGCGCAAGAGCCAGGGTGAAATTTCATCTGCAAAAATGGTAATAATTAATCGGAGATATCAAATGAAATGATAAGAATCGTGTTTTTGAAGGAGCTCTTTCAAATCTAAGCCCAAATTTTAGAAAAACCCTAATTTAAGCATACGAGTACGTACATACATATACATACATATATAAAAATAATTTGAAAATAGAATAATCGGCTTTAGCTCGTAACAAATACATCATTTTGACTAACTTGGATCAAAATCGGGTATTTCATAGTAAATATTAACGAATTCTTGATCTTCAGGTACAACTGTATGCATCGGATCTGGATCATAGTAGATAGCCGTATTGGTCGTAACATTCTTTAGTGTTGTGTGTTCCAGACGACACAGAACATCTTTTGCCTTCTCAACGTCGCGTGCTGGATTGCCCGTAAGAAACACAGTTAGAGATGGCGAGCGTGGACGCTTAGAAACGTTGATGATCTCTTTCAAACGTGGTACGCCCAGAGTAACATTTTTTGCCGAAACACCAGCAAAATGAAATGTGTTCAATGTCATTTGTGTAGCTGGTTCACCCAGTGATTGCGCCGAAAGTGCACCCACCATTTCGCCCGGACAAACTTGTGAGAGTTGAAATCGTGTAGCGATTTCGCCCAGTAACATTTCAAAGGATTCGGACGTCAAACGATGATTTTCAGCTACCACTTTAGAGCACAGCGTCGAACGTACTAGACACTGAAAGAGGAAGGTAGCATTGTCATTGGCCTGCTGGGAAATGTGATCTGAACCAGCCACAATGACGCACTGCTTGAGCAGCTCGCGTACGCCTGAAAGTAAATGAAGAGCATTGAAAAATATTTAAAAAATTAAAACTATTTTTACCCTTTTAACTTATGTACCTTTAATCACATCCAATGGATTGAGAGTTGTAGTTGAGCGTTTGTCAATATGAAAGACTTTCTGTACATTCCATATCATTCGCTGTAGATTACATGGTAAAACAACTTTCGACTCGCCGGTAGGAAAAATTTGTCGTAAAGCTTCGCGATCGCGACATAATTGCTCCCACTCGGCCTCCAACTGTGGAATGATTTCGGGCGATTCTGTTATATTACGTACGGTCTCCTCGTTGAAATATTTGCGCAGGTTACGTGTTTGGGTAACATCAAATTTAAATTGTTTCTCGAATGCCTTATTCGATAGTTGTATGGTGGGTAGTGTTTGAAATTCTACCGACTCACCACAAAGACCATCTTCACCGTAGCGCAACTGCACAATTTGCCCTTCAGCATTTCGTACTGTGCCATCATATTGCACCATAACCGATTCCATAGCTTTTATTAGACGCCTTTGTATGTATCCCGTTTCAGCAGTCTTCACAGCCGTATCGATGAGTCCCTCGCGTCCACCCATTGCATGAAAGTAGAATTCACTTGGCGTTAAGCCTGCCAGATATGAGTTCTCAACGAAACCGCGTGCTTCTGGCCCATAATCATCCTTGATGAAATGTGGCATTGTACGCTTACGAAAACCATAAGGTATACGTTTACCTTCAACATTCTGCTGACCTACACAGGCGATCACTTGTGATATGTTGATGTTGGAGCCTTTGGAACCAGCAATTACCATGGCCTGCGAAAAATTCAAATGTCTAAACATAATTCTGTACAAATTTGCCTTAAGCGTTACCTTCAAGTTATTATATTCTGTCAGCGATTTCTTTGCCGAGCCACCGGTTTTATCGCGTGCATCGTTTAAAATACGATTTACTTGATTCTCAAATGTCTGGCGTAGCGTATTGCCCGGCGTTGGCTCTAGCTGCATATGATGAGCCTTTTGTATGACTAACATAACATCGTTCTTCGCTTTCGCAATAGCATTTTGTATTTCTTTGTATGTGGCCGGATCGGCAATAGTATCGCCAATACCGATACTGTGGCCCTCGATTAGCAGCCATGCGTTGACTACTTTTTGTATATTTGCATAAAATTCTCCGGAAATTTGATGACCGAGCTCAATGTAAGCAATGTGTAACAGAGATCCTGCGGCAGCACCCAATGTGCGTTTACATAGAATACCCATAATTAGTTCACTGTATTCGACAACAACCTGAAAATAGAAGTGGGTATCGGGTAATGTTTTGGGTTGGGGTATTGTTGGAGTAGAATACAAAATACGATATTCTTCCGAACTTTTTTGATTTAAGAATTTCATTTTTTATTACTCCTCTTAGAACTGTATAGTAATTTCTGACCTACGCCTAACAAAACATGACTCTGTTATATGTGAACGACATTTACAAGATAGTTTGTTAAATGTGGTATAATACTCGTATTCAATCTGTACTCACCTTGGTATCACCCGGCGAAATCCAACGATATTGACTATCATCCTCTTCATCAGGATGTGTTGAGTGTGTACGTATCATATTCAAATTTCCCGGAATGATTAAAGAGAAAAGCTGTTTGCCCGACCATAAAAGTGTCGGTTTCAATATACATGGCTTCGGCATTACACCATCCCAGCAGGGCATATGCATGAGTAAATTCATAAGCTGTTCATGGGTTATGAAGACATCGCGTTTGGTCATTTTGCATACACCCGTCAAACAGTCTTGTACAATACCCATTACCGGTTTATTCGTTTGGGGTGTGACTATTTGTCGTGGTGTTAGATGAAGATTTTCAATTTCGGCGCGAGTTTCCATGCTCTGCGGCACGTGTAAGTTCATTTCATCGCCATCAAAGTCAGCATTATAAGGCGAAGTGCAAGATAGATTCATACGAAATGTGGACCACGGTAAGACTTTGACGCGATGACCCATCATTGACATTTTGTGTAGAGTTGGTTGGCGATTAAAAATTACAAGGTCATTATCACGCAAATGACGTTCTACCTTGTAGCCAAGCTCCAAATGTAAGTCACTGGGTTTTGGATGAAAACGCAAGTCGATACGATCTCCATTGTTACGTATTATGTACTTAGCGCCAGGGAATTGATTATTTCCCCGATGCACAAGGGTTTGCATGAACTGCATATAAATTTCACATTTTAATCAATTAGAAGCATAAATGCAGGATTACTTACTTCAATATTGAATGGTGTTACTACTTCGGGGTAAGTTAGATTCTGCGCTACCGATCGTGGCACGCCAACTTGATCGATATTTAAATTGGGATCGGGTGTAATGACGGTACGTGCAGAAAAATCTACACGTTTGCCCATTAAATTTCCCCGTATACGCCCCTCTTTGCCTTTTAGGCGCGCCTTGATGCTTTTTAATGGACGTCCGGATTTTTGTAGAGCACGCGGCAAACCAGGCATTTCATTGTCAATGAGCGTAACCACATGAAACTGCAACAGTGAGGAGCACTCTCTGATTATGTGTTCGGCAGCGCCTTTTTCAATACATTTCTTCAATTCATTATTGGCTTCGATGATATCAGCCAATTTGTGTGTGATATCATCATGAGAACGTGAGTTGCCAAACATTAGGACAGAAGGACGCACGGATAGTGGCGGTACTGGCAGCACTGAAATGATCATCCAATCGGGACGGCAGTGTTGTGGATCCATTCCTAAATGTACACAATCTTCGTCGGAAATATTTCGGAAGATCTCTAAGACACGATGTGCAGTTAAAATGATTTGACGCTCTTGACGCTGTTCCGTTAAACGCTGCCAGGTGGCATGTAGTTCCAGCTTGTTTCGTGTAATGCGTGGTTGATGATAACCACAACCGCCATGATCCGAAATATTCTTATCATTATTACATTTAATTGGTATGTCCATGTTTTCGCCACCTTCACATATTGTCTTCGATTTGCATAGCTCACGCATGAGACATAGACGCATGCGTGGGCGTGTTTTGGTGCGATTCAGTAATTCTCTAACCTATCGAAGAAATCGTGATTACTTTAATATATATATATATATAAGTGCATGAATGTATGTACGCACCTTCGGATTTGTGGGTGAAACCAATAACTTAGAGCAAGAGAAGCATACGCAACGTAAAATTTTAATAGTTTTAATTAGGAATCCAATATGAAAAACAGGCAAACTCAAATCAATATGCCCAAAATGACCGGGACAGTCGACAATATTGCCGGCGCATGTAAGGCAACGTGATTCCCGATTTAAAACTCCTTGACGCGGGTCCATTAAACCGCCCAACGCTGGCTTACCATCCTCCACAATTACTGCACGTGTGATGCCACCTTCTGTAACGGATAAGCGTTTGATTTCGTCCGGTGAGAGCACACCAAATTGTATGCCTTTAACTTTTCGTGTAACACAAGCGTCGCCCATATTTTAGTTAAATTATTAGAAGCTTATTTGTTGTGCAGACGTATACACCAATGTTAAACTATAATGAGGGTATATTTTTTGATAAATTAAAAGATTGTTCACAGATATACATATATTTATGAATTTAATTTTTATTATTTGCAAATGAAATTGTAACGAAGCGGATATTCCATTTTAAACCAAGCTGTACTGTTATGTGTGGTATGTTCAGTGCGTGCGTTAAATTAAATTCGGCATTAGCGTTTGAGTTTTGACGTTTCCAACTTTTAACTTCCGTCATGAAACCGTCTAATTTGGAGAAATGCCAAATTTCGCAAACAGCAAAATCAGATGTTTTTAGGAAATTTCAATTTTGTTGAATTATTTATTTAAAATCATGCATTGGACTTAGAATGAAGCGTTTTACAGAGAAAGTGCACCATGAGCAACAAAAGGAAGTGGTATGGATAATGCAAGAGAGGCATGTTGGACGACCTGAGCTAGTGTCAGAAAAGCGGAAATCAATTGCGGAACAGGAAGATGATTCTTTTAAAACGCCTATTGTGTACTCCAAACGCTATGGCGTGCGATTTTGTGGCATGGAAAAGTTGCATCCCTTCGATGCCGCTAAAGGTGGACATGTACTCAAGGTATTCTTTTGAAATATTGATTTAAATCAATAAATAAATAACAATGCCATCACAGTTTTTGTTGCAAACTAATATTTTGCAAGCCGGCCGTTTTTATGAACCAACCGAGATCACAAAACAAGATTTACAAAAAGTGCATACGCGTAAATATTTAAGAAGTTTGAAGGTAACTTGATTTTATAATAAAAATTCTTTATATACATAAGTAATAATATAAATTGCTCTTTTTCAAGTGGAGCTTAAATGCCGCTAAGATTTCAGAAATCCCTTTATTACTTTTTGTACCAAATACATTTGTACAACGCGGCTATTTGCGTCCAATGCGTTTCCAAACAGCTGGTTCCATACTCGCCGGAAGTTTAGCATTACGTTACGGTTGGGCCATCAATTTGGGTGGTGGATTTCATCATTGTTGTGCCTATAAAGGTGGCGGATTCTGTCCATATGCTGATATTACTTTGCTTATAACAAAAACATTTGAAGAAGAACGTAACGTCGAAACTGCTATGATTGTGGACTTAGATGCGCATCAAGGAAATGGACATGAACGGGATTTTTATGAAAATAATAACGTTTACATATTGGATATGTACAATGCCTCAATATATCCCCGTGATCATGAGGCCAAGTTAGCGATAAGTTGTGCTGTGGAATTGAGGCCTCGAACGGCCGATGAAACGTACCTGAAGAAATTAAGAAGGTATGCTACATACATACATATGTTTGGAGTAAATGAATGTATACATATTTTACTTTTATTTATTAAATTTTTGATCATTTTCACACAGGTCCTTAACTTACTCTTTAAACGAGTTTCGTCCTGATTTATTGGTATATAATGCTGGAACGGACATATTACTTGGTGATCCTTTGGGATTACTTTCAATAACGCCAGAGGTTTGAATCTATCTTTTCTCTTCTTAAAACTATTTCGCTAATCCTTTACAAACTCAACCTCATTTAGGGAGTTGTGGCACGTGACCAATTTGTTTTTGCAACCTGTCGCGAACAACGTATACCAATTGTAATGCTGCTTAGTGGCGGCTATTTAAAGTCGTCTGCAAAAGTAATTGCCGAATCTATTGTTAATTTGAAAGCCAAAGGTTTGCTTGCTTGCTGAAAGCACCACAAGTATTTGTATTAAAATTCTCAGTTTTTTTTTTATCAAAATTGAGTTAAATTTGTTTGAAAAGACTTTGGTGTTATTAAAGAAATTGCCATTTGTTGTTTTTCATTACAATATATGTATGTATATGAAGTGCATAAAGAAATTATAAAATGAGGTGTTCCTGCAAGTGAATGTTATTACAGAAATTTGCTTAAATTTGTCTAAATAAATTTGAAATCTTATAGATTTAAACATTTATATTATATACAAATAGTAACTTATCGTAAACCAATTTGTGATGTAATTAGCGTAAATGCAATTTGACATTCCATGAATAAAATATATAATTGTTTATTAAAAACAACATTATCCATCGGTGCCTCTAAACATTTTTATCTTAGGAGAAATGCAATAAACCGTGTTAATTAATCAAAATCCACTAAAGCAATAGGAGATATTTTATGGGTTAAAAAAAATTATAATTAAGACACAATAACCTTTGCCCTTTATTTCAATTTAAAACTCCAAAACTGGGATTATGAGTTGAAATTAGCGTTTCTGGAATTCTCGAAACAATATTATAAAGATATCTAACGGGAGGTCCAGAAATAGCGCTGTTCGGCCAGAAAGAGAGAGAGCTGCTAAATAGGTTGGTTGAAGGGAACATACAAAGAACGTGTTAATGTCAGCGGGTCATACGTTAGGAAGTCATAGTCGAGTTTAGAGTAAATATATTTGAGCTCATTGTCTGCGATAAGTTGTGGTTGGAGTCCGTCATTTTAGAAAGAGAGTTGATGAAGATGCTAATTGACTTTCTGTAAATGGCGCTTAAAAATTAAATTATTAAATTAAAAATTTTATTTTATTAAAAACTTAAAATTGCAACGAATCATCTGAAGGTAAAAATCAAAATCAAAACGATTTCTTATTCTGTATCACATTGGTTATGATCGGAACTACAATAAAGCATTTCCCAAAAAAAAAAAAAGTGGCGGAATTTTTTAATTTTTTTTACTCTTTTTTAATTTTTTATGCATTTTTTAAAGAACAATGAATATTTTCGGTTGTATTTCTGGCCATAGAGAAACGTTTTAACAGTAAAATGCCGTTTAGTTCATGTTGACAATTTCAATAGGTTCTAAATGAGTTGAAAAAACGTGATTTCGAGAAAAAGGCGTTTAAAGTTTTTGTTGATGGAGATTTTCATTATTTCTAAGAGTTGTTTCTAGAAATTTACAGGAAAAAGTTTCGATTATTTCAAAATTTTTTAGAGGAACCTGGCATTAAGACTTGCCCTTAGTTAGTTGCGTCCAGCGAATCTTTGCGAGATTGTTATATAGAATCTGTGTAATGAAGCATTGCATTTGTTGTGTGCTTGGAAGGCGGTTCTATTAATAACTTTCTTGTTTGCAAACGTTCATGCCATACGCATTTAAAATATCTTATCTTTTTTATAAATTAATAAGTCTTCAAACAGTACGCTATGTCAGAAAATAATATTACTTACTGTTTTTATTCCAAAACGATAAATTTTACGTTTACAATAATTTTATTTATTAGAAATGGGTTTGTTTGAATTACACTTATGTATATATATATAGTAAATCATAAAATAATTAGGAGGTGGCTAATGAGTCCATTTATGAATGTATGCAGAAAATATATAAATATATATTTATATGCACACACGTTGTTTTTCATGTTTAATATTCTTTCACTAACATAACTTTTCTTTAACTATATTTAACTTATTTTTAACAAATAAAATATTAAAAATTACAAATAAATCCGTTTCTGATGCAAATAGAAATAACTACAAGTAAGTTCTCAAGTTAAGAATTTAAATTTATTTTACTTTTGAAAATTCTCATTTAGTGTTTTGCAATAAAAAATTTAGCTTACAATTATGTATGTGTTGCCAATGCAACAATGCTTGACTTACACGCACATACAAGTATGTTTGGATTCCTAACTACAATGCATTATACGAAAATCTGGAAACATATTGAGTAATACAAATTTAATTAGATTATGAAATGGAATATCATATTACATATAATTATACATATATATTAGATTGTGATTCGAGTTAATACAAAAAAATAAAAAATAATAACTAAATGTCAAAAACCCACTAAATGATTGCACTCGAACAGGATCGACATACACAAAGTGCTCATTACAAAGCTATTTAATTTGTTGACAAATTTATATTTATATATTTTTTTTAAGGATAACAGTTTAATTATTGTTTAAGGTAGATTAATAATACAGTAATTTTCAGTAAGAAAAATGCCGTTTATTGCTAAATGTCACCTATTTATGTATGACTAAAATAGTTTCGTTTTATCTTTTCTATTTATTACTTTCAATTTCTTTTGTTAAATTTATCTATTGTATTTCATATGATATTGTGGTTTTTATTTTGGTAAAAATGTAACAACTTTGCAGCAGTCTTTAAGTGTATATAGTACGTCACGTGCGACAACGTTAATGTGTTCGTCTTTTATATGCACATATATATGTATGTATGTATAAATATACGAATCAGCATTTGTGCCGAGTTGTACACACAATTATTTTGTTACCAATTAACGAGTGATGGCGAAAATACTGCAGGGTGAGATAATGCAAGACAGGACAATTGTGGTAGGAAGTAGGTGTGATGTTGTTGTTGTTGTAGTGATTCTGGTATTTATGAAATTTGATCGCTATTGTTTTTGATCTTTATGAGTAGACGATTTGACAATTATTTGCTGTTGTGTTGTAAGAAAGTATATATATATATTTATTGCCACATTCCAATTAAGCACAGGTGTAAGTATTTTTTGTAATTTATTTAGTTTTTTCTTTTTTAAGACGGGCTGTCATTAATGTTTATAAATTATTGCTTTTGGGGTATGCTTTTTGTTATTAACAAGCAGTCGGAGCCGATAACCTAGAAAAAGGCGACAAACATTACAAATTTTATCATAAAACTAATGTATTATTCATGTACATATGTATGTATGTATACAAAACATTTATACAAATGAATATGCACAATGCATTCCAGTTTTGATGATCACCATATAATAGCTATGAGTATAATATTTTCAAAAACTCGATGTTGATGTTTTCCTTCGTAACTTGCATGCAAACATTTAAACAGAAATGTACAACTTTTTGAATAAAAACATAATGTAAAGAGATAGCATTTTGCGAAATATGCCAACTCGTAGTTTGAGTATATGAAATATGCCATACACAAAACAAAAAGCAAGCCTGAAATTAATTTGGCTTCAAATTCTTTTTTTTTTTTTAATTCTATAGTTTCCAACTTAAAACGAGTTAGCACATTTCAGCTGTCAATATGTTCATATGTACAATGCCAAATACAAATTACAGCAAATATCTATGAATTATGAATTATAAACATGCTTAATTATGCCATTATTATTCCGAGGATGCAATTCACGAAAGTTACTTACGCATCGGAACTTGACGTTGCGCCTTCGAAAAGCACCTCCGATCGACTACTAATTATGTACATTAAGCAAAATGATATTATCAACACAACAATGCCAATGGAGAGTGTGACGATTTCGTGTACTCTGGACGGTCGTAGGAACATGCGTGCGCTAAGTTTTGTCCACGTCGATTCAGTCCAGGTTGAGTATTCCCCAGATTTCCAGTCGTAATCTAGTTCAAAAGCAGTAAACAGAGTTTTGCAATAACTCAAAATTTGATATGAAGCATTTGTATATTTACTATCGATTAAAAACGCTGGACTCAATGCGTAAGTATAATTATTTGTTGTGTGTCGACACTCGCCGACGCCTTTCGGTCCCGCAATCCATTGCAGTGGCAGTGGCGCACATTTTTCTTCGGGTGTATCTACTTCGTCTGACAATAGAAAACCCATAAGACGATAAGTCCAACCAGAAGCGTCTTGTGGGCTCATAAGCACGCTGATGTAACTGTAAAAAATGCATAATAACTAAATGTAAAAGAAACTGCAAAGTTAAAGTTTACCGCATTGGTGGGAAGGGTGGTCCTGGTAAGCTATTCACTGGCGAAATATCTTTAAATAGTCTGCAGTCAGCTGCTTCTAGGAAACAATGCAATAGCTCGTCGATCAATAAAGGACTAGCGTAACCTTTCACTTTGGGACCTTGGTTAAACAGGATTTGCGTTAAAGCCAATGCTACACTTGTAGACGCATTACGTATTTTCATTTGCACAGATTCTGCTGGGAATAGTTGTAGTGCCTCCTCCGTAGAAATAAGTTTTGTGTAATTTTGTTCGGTGTGATTATAATAGGTAAAATTCAAATTTGCCGCATTATCGTAGATGGAATGATAGTATTTATTTTGGGGCTTTGAGTTTAATATTATGGCAGGGAATGTTTTCATTTTGCGGAGGAATGATTGCGCTGAAGTTGGTGGAATATTATTACCCACATTTAGCTGATAATTTATGTTAAAGTTCTGGCTCTGGGAATTTAAAACTCTGACGAATTCCTCCGCTTTGTCGGTTTTATTTAGTGTATGCACATTTATTGTAGAAATTTCATCTAACACACCAATATCGATCATTAATTCTATATTCTCAAATGTTATAGGTGCTCTTTGTGTTGAGGCCGATGGAAAGTCAAAATTTTCCATATCAAACACAAAACGCTGAGAGCCAATATAATCGTATGATTCGCCGTTGAAGATGACAAAAAGTATATTAGTTTTCTTAGTTAAATTTGAGGAATTACTAGGTAGATATTGTTTTAAAGTGCTGGCTATGCTCATCAGCGTGACATATCCTGTCAGCGAATCCATGGCACCGAGGGCTAAAACCGAATTAAAAAAAATGTTTAATAAATATGAATAAGGTATGTTACGCAATACAATTACCTATATTGTCAAACATTGACGCAGTGTCCATTCTACAAGTGATTAAAATAAACTTTTCTTTTTCATCAGTTATGTTCGTTTCATTAGCTTGCCCATTGACAGCATTTGGTTGAATATTACGGGGATAAAGTGTTGCATAGACATTGCTACCTTCCAAGGGATCACAGTATTTGGTGCTCCCTAGATTATTAAGGAAATTTGTACGACGTATACACACTTCGGAGCTTACGGCTCCAACCATAAATTGTTGTAGTTCTACAGAACAAAGGCTGCGTGTGTTATGCCCTTCGTAATCGTAATTATTAAATTTTTCAAAACATGATTTTAGTTTATTAACCTCATCCTCATCGGATATGTATAAGATGGGAAAAGGAAAATCTTCATGCAACAATCCTGAACCCCAAGGATTCCACGCGTTTTCGGGATTACGTGTATCGCATGTCGCCGTTTCGTTGCTTTCAGACAATAACAGTCCACTATATCTATTAGGGCAGGTAAGTTCATGAGAGAATTGCGTCACCTTTTCTTTGCCGCCAATTAGGAGCACTGCAGAAATACTGCTTGTCCCCTGTTCCTTTAAACGCATTATATTTTCCCGTGTGAAGAGATGCGGTGGTATCATAGGTGCATATGGTGGTGCAGGTGGGTTGCGTAGTAAAAATTCAAAGTCTTCAACAACTTGTATAAGATGTAATGCTCCCGTCGAACCATATTGACTCGCTGTTAAGAAGATTTTTTTAATAGTTGTATGCGTAATTCTAATAACGGTACTTACATGAACAGCCTGTTTGGTGCGTGCCATTGAGACGTCTGAAGCAGCTGGCTCCACTTATGGATGTGTATATTTTGTCATGTACACGACGACTTTCGACGGCTAGATAATTTTTTTAAGCATAAAATATAAACAAGAGAACTATGAGTGAGTCACTGATATCTACCGGGTTATGGTAGCGATAGTTAACAAGTAAAGTAATAAATGTAATACTAAATTTGCTAGGAATATCGGTAGTGTACTTTCCAATAAAAAAAAGGCACTGTTTTGCTGGAAATCTGCCATATAATTCAATATGTGTAAACTAAAGTTTACAAAATTTGTCACCTCTCCCCAAAATATTAGAGTATGTACACATTTTCAGATATGTGGGCGTTGAAAACTTACCAATTGCTATGTTTAAGCTTATCGCTAGCAGGATAAGCAAAGAGATCAATCCAAGGTACATTTTTTACTTTTGCCACTTTTAATTGTAATAAAATATAAAAGTTTTCACAAAATGAAGAATGCAATTTTTCGCTGCAGTTAGCAGCTGAGGATGTTGTCTTTTGTGATAATTATTTTGCGGTGTGTTCAATGAGTGCAAATAAGCATTGTTCATGGAATGTGTTTAGTAAATGTACAGTTGGAAGTTGAATAAAGGTATTCACAGTACCGCGCTAAATTTCATAATGTTGTATTGCAATAATTTCCAATGATATTCGATCCGATTTAGAACAGGACTATGTAATTTCGCTCGCACGCAACTCCGAACCCGAACAGTTTCAGATTTTAGAACAGTCCTGCATGAGTCCGGAAGATAACTTGAATAATCCCAAACCGAATAATTTAAAAGACGAGGTGGGTATGTCATGCCAACTTATAGTATATCTAAAAGAAATATCCCATAAAAAGGACGATCGAATCAAAAACAAAACTTAAAAGATTTATATAATCAAATTTTCTTTTTGAATGAATCACTAGCAAGCCAGAGCATACAAATTAAGTTTTTTTTTAAATATTTCCGTTTTTGGACCATTTCATGGAATTTCTCTTCTCTCAATCATTCTTGGGAATCACAGAAATAAACTTACAAATTTTCAAAATGATTTTCCAGGTAGTTTTGGAGATCCCAGAAAGTAAACATACATACAATAGTTACATATATAGGTTATGTAAAAAAAAAGCTAGTAAAATTTACTTAATTAATATTTTTTTTTACTTTATTGAATGTAATTCCATGAAGAATTTCGAATACAAGTATAAAATATGATAATAGTGTAAATGACCGTTCGCTTATTACTGGACAACCATCAAACGTGGCGCGATATTCATGGACATTAGCTCCTGGAAAAGTAACTTTGCGGCATACGGCAAACGCACTTGTGATATTTGAGTTTTGTTCTTGCAGCCTTTGCATTCAAATGTATTATTACGCAAATTGGCTATAGCGATAAGACCACAGAAATTACAAACGTGTATACGATATGGATCGGAAACTTCGAAGAGACGTTCACGAAGAAATTGTGCAGCGCCATGAGAAATTTGGCAATCACGTTCCATCTCGCCGAAACGTAGACCGCCGTCACGTGCCCTACCCTCCATAGGTTGGCGCACCAAAATCTGTACGGGTCCACGAGCTCGCGAGTGAATTTTGTCATCCACCATGTGCTTTAAACGTTGATAATATGTGGGCCCCAAGAAGACTTGGGCATTGATTTTGCGTCCGGTATGTCCATTGTACATTACTTCATTGCCACGCAAATGATAGCCGTACTCTTGTAGGAAAGTAGAGATTTTTTGTACGTTTACTGCGTCATTGAAGGGCGTAGCATCACCGATTTCACCCTTGTTGGAACCCAATTTTCCTACATACGAAAATAAAAACTTAATAGACTATCTCATTTTCATAATTAGAAATTTCAGTACCTTGTAGACACTCGATTAAATGGCCAATTGTCATACGAGATGGAATAGCGTGAGGGTTAATAATAATATCTGGTGCCAAGCCCTCGCATGTGAAGGCCATATCTTCCTGTCGATATTGGATACCACATGTACCCTTTTGTCCGTGACGTGAAGCAAACTTGTCACCAATTTGTGGTATACGCACCGAGCGCACACGAATCTTACAGAACTTGTAACCCTCGCTATTAAGCGTCAACATCACCTGATCTACAATACCAGTTTCGGAATTACGTAGGAAGGTAGATGCGTCTCGCTTGGTAAAGCGTTTTGTGGTGCTGTCAAGCTGAACGTAAATATTTAATTTTATGGAAATTAGTTTGCAAACACATGACATCTATTTTCTCACCTCATCATCATTTTCGGGCAAAGTTATAGTTTTGCCGATAACCACGTCGTCGCCTGATACACGAATGCCAGGTGCAATTATACCGTCATCATCTAACTTGTCGTAGTGAGCATTACGCATGCCCTGACAAGTTTGACGATTGGGCTTTTCAAAGTTTTCTTCTTGATCGCCAATACGTTTATTTTCTGAGTCCTTATATGAACGGTAGAAAACAGAGCGGAAGAATCCACGTTCCACAGCCGATGCATTCAAGATAACAGAATCTTCTTGGTTGTATCCAGTGTAACATAAAATGGCTACAATTGAGTTAATGCCAGCTGGCAGTTCTCTGAAACGTAGATACTCCATAGAACGTGTTGTGACCAAAGGCTTCATAGGATAGTAGAGCACATGAGCCAAAGTGTCCATCCGCACATGGAAATTGGTAATGTAGACACCCATAGCTTGTTTACCTGCGAAAACATGAAGATTTTAAGATTTTAAGTTTTTTATAACTGATGAAATAATATAACTTTCAAACAATTACGCACCCATAGCGCTTTGATAGGTGTTACGTGGACTCTGGTTGTGATCGGGGAATGGAATAATGGAGGCGCAAACGCCTAAAATCATAGCTGGGTGAATTTCACAATGCGTATATGTGGTACAATATGCGTAATCCTTGTCCTGCTTCAAATCGTACGGTGACATTGCTATCATCACAGTCTCTTCTTCCAATGTATCAATGTACTCCACTACGCCGGATGCGACTAATACTTGCCAGCTATAGTTATTGTAATCACGTTCCTTTAACATGTCCACATGAGTTTTCTTCAATAGCAGTGAACCATTCTCAACAATCAACAGCGGACGACAAATGCGTCCAGCATCAGTGTAAATTCTAATTTCACGATCGCGGATATCACGAATCATAGATACCTCCGAGACAATGATATCCATTTGACGGCGCAATTTCCGAAGGGTTGCCATCAATTGTTCAGGATCTCGATGTATGCCAACCCAACAGCCATTGACGAAAATCTTAGTTGCATCTGCAATGGCTGATGGTGCAATTTCTTCTAAATTTTCCATAGACCACTCTTCCAAGAACTCCAAAATCGGGGAAGGCTGCGAGCCGACCGAAATATATGCCATAAGAGCCAAGTTCTTTACCAGACCTACAGCAGCACCTTCTGGTGTCTCGGCTGGACACAACATGCCCCAAAGTGTATTGTGCAATTGACGTGGTTTGGCCAATTTACCATCGCGACCGATTGGCGAGTTGACGCGACGTAAATGCGATAAGGTTGAAGCAAAGGTTAGACGATTCAACACCTGAGATACGCCTGCACGGGCTTGATGTGCCTTCTTCTGATCACCCCAATTGCCTGTGGCCAAAGAGTAACGCAAACCATCAGTAATGATGTTCGTTTTAATGGCCAATTCCAAGTTGAAGTCCTTTCCACGGTCGATGAACTTCTGTGTGTACATCCGTACTTCTTTCATTAAGTTTTTAAAGAGGCCACGGAAGAGGAAAGCCAGTAGTGGACCGGCGAGATCCAAACGTTTGTTACCTAAAGAAGTAGATTTGTTTTAGAATAGTCTGATTTAATTATAATTCGCATACAGTCTACCCACCGTAGTGATCCCGATCATCTAATTCTCGACGACCGAGCGAAGCAAGCAGCAGGCGATGAACCATGTAACCCAGAAAGTATGCCTTCTTTGTTTCGCAAAAATCGGAGACGCCTACATGTGGCAACATTTCTTTTTGTAAAATTTCCTTTGCGTATTTAATACGTTTATCTTTTGTTACACCTGGTCGTGCACCACGCGCACCAATGAAATTCAAGGCAACATTTTGCTCTTGAACGACGAAAGCTTCATCAAGTGATGGTTTAACCATTTCCATCATTTCAGGATCATCAAAATCGTAAATGATATGCTCTAAAATATCTCTGTCTGCCACAAAGCCCAAAGCCCGAAATACAATCATAATTGGTATCTCCTGCTTGATATACGGCAAAATGGCAATTATACGCTGACCAATAGCTGATTTTTTGATGTTTTGTGAACCACGCGCCATCATATTCACCCAAAGCGTTGAAGTTGGTCTGGAGCTGTGTTCAAGACAAGAACGAATTTCAGATTTGAATGCGTATTTGCCATCTTTCATGCTGAATACATATACAGTATTTGTAGCCATTTTCTCTTGAGCGATCAGTACTTTTTCCGAGCCGTTAATAATGAAATAACCGCCGGGATCCAATGGACATTCATTTAATTCTGTTAAATCACGATCTGTTAGTTGTGACAGCAGACAGTATGTTGAACGCAACATAATAGGAATTTTCCCAATAAAAGTTTTCTGATGCTGCGTTTCAACTGGATCGGCACCTTCTACGATTTTTGTTTTTGTTATATCCACATATAGTGGCGCAGAATATGTTAGATTGCGCAAACGTGCTTCGTTCGGCATCATAGGACTTGGCGAACCATCTTTCTCCCAATGTGTGGGTTTTGAAAGATAAATTTGCTCAAATTTGAGTAGAAAACGCGGCTAATCAAAAAGAAAGAAAAATATATATAATAAAACTATAAACTAATTTTTAATTTTCTACTTACGGGAGTCTCTATTTCGCCAGATGTATGTTGCGCCTCCGCTTGTAAATCGATTGCCGGCGAGTCTTCCACAATACGCTGTACCGACATTTGTATAAATTCATCGAAACTGTCCAGCTGTTGACGCACCAAACCTTTTTCATCGAAATATGCGTTAATTACGATCCAACAAGCCTCCTGCCACAATTCATGGGAGATTTCCTCCGCATTCTCCTCCTCGTACATTTCTACAATTAAATAAAGGTTTGGAAAAACTCATTCCAATAATGGCGACCGCAGCACCCAGGTGGCATATCAGCATTTCGCGAAGAAAAAATTCATGTACTTACCATCTTCTTCGTACATCATTTTGTCGGCTTGCAAAGCACTTCTGTGCGGCTAATGCAAGTATATTTACTTTCTATAAAAATATTATGAAGTTTAAAAATATTATTTTCCTCGAAATATTTCACAAATTAAGAAAACGCGACTCAATTGGTGGCACAGAAGCGGCACTCAAAGAAATGTCAAAATGAAATGTCAACAATGACAGCTGAGCAAGAGTGTTGCGGCACATACTACAGTAATCACGGCGTGATATTAAATTGACATCCAATTTATTTTCAGTTAGGCAACTTAAGTAAAAAGAATTATAGTTGAATAAAATTTAATTCCCTCATATATTATAATACATCAACTACATACATAGATAGTTTTTTAGATAAATATTATCTGTTTATCCACTTATTGATATGAACTCTTTTTGTTAAGTAATTATAGGAATGATGGACAAACCGCCACTAGGCCAAGTAAAAAGTTCGTTCGTTTTTTTTTATTGATTTTTCACTTTGTGTACATTTGTCCGACTTAAGTCAAATATGCGCCGTTTTGTTCGTAAACTTGTTGCCAATGCCCCTCTCGTAGAAGACTGCTTGCCTATTGGCAAAAAACTTGGTGAGCCAATTTTCACAGGCCTCTCTTGAGGCCAACTTCTCACCATTAAGCGCGTTCGCCATGGACAGGAAAAGATGGTAATCACTTGGGACCAGGTACGGGCTAAAGATGGGTGCATTAGGACCTGCCATCCGAGCTCCTGGAGCTTCTGGCGCGTCACCAAAGACGTGTGTGGCCTGGCGTTGTCCTGATGGAACACCTTTCGCACTCTGTTGATCAAAAATGGCCTCTTTTGGATGAGTGCTGCCTTCAAGCGGTCCATTTGTTGGCAATAGAGGGCCGAATTGAGCATTTGGCCATAGGGGAGCAGCTCGTAGTAGATGATTCCTTGCAAATCCCACCAAACACACAACAAAATCTTCATGGCCATCAATCCGGTCTTGGCCGCCGTCTGAGCCGCTTCCCCAAGCTTTGACCACGACCGTTTTCACTCAATGTTGTCGTAAGTGACACATTTTTCATCGCCAGTCACAATCCGCTTCAGAAACGGTTCGATTTTGTTGCGATTCTGCAGCGATTGGCAGATGGAAATTCGGTCCATCATGTTTTTTTGCGCTAGTTCGTGTGGCACCCAAACATAGAGCTGCTTTTTATATCCAGGTCACTTTACATTATTTTTATGATTTTATTGCAAAGCCTCCCGACGCGTGATACATCTTTGTTATCGAAATTACCGGAACGGAACCTGTCAAACCACTTTTCTGCTACACGTTCGCTTACAGTATCGGGCCCATAAACTAAAATGTTTTTCTCAGCTGCTTTGGCTGCTTTTTCGCCTTGATCGAAGAAAAATTGTAAAATATAGCGAATCTTCTCTGTGCTGGTGTCCATCTTTGACGAGCGCTCGCAACGTACTGAGTCAATCAATCGAAAAACTCTCGAAGACAAACTTTTAGCGTGAATAAACACGTTTACAGCGGCGTATAGTATGACATGATGCTACACGTAACACTAGTACTATGGACAATAACGCCATCTCTTAGATAAAAACCGAACGAACTTTCTACTTGACCAATATATACGTCTGACCAGGATTAAAACTCACAAGCATGTATGAAAATTCTTTCGGTTTTGGCTAGTAATATTTCAAGTAAGTGAGATGTGGACACAGGAACTCTACAAGGTGGAGTGCTATCACATCTGTTCCGGACCCTTGCGGTCAATGGATTACTAAAAATTATTAAAAGTGGAGTTGTGGGTGGTAAGTGTTTATCAACCCTAGGATCTATGGCGAATCAGGAACACAACTGAGCTATTTCTGCAGGACGTAAGGTTAATACCGATAAATAATATATGATTCTATTCAGAACAGCTAAAATCTAGCACCAAATACCTGCTAATTGTGTTGGATAACAAATTGTATTGGGGAACAGGTGAGGAAGGCTTCAGCGGCCCAATGTATATGTAAGAGGAGAGTTGTGGTCTTTACCTTACTATCTCTCACTGGATATTCGCTGCGATTGTTAAGCCAATACTTTTCTGCGATGCTTTAATATGGTGGATGGCTATGGACAAGATAACATATCTGAGTAGGTTGGAAATAGTCTTCAGACTTTCACTTATAAGTATCACTGAAGCACTCAAAACAACACCATCTGCAGCGCTAGTGGCGATTTTGAGCACTACCAATAAATCCAGTTGCTGAATGAAGGCATTCCTTACTGCTGCTATACGTTTTTATTCAGCCGAATGGACTTACATTAGTATAGCATAAGTTTACAAATTGACTACGTGATCTTGCTCTGACTATCGGGATACTGTTGTCAGTTACGACAGATGAAATTTCTAAAAGAGTCTTTAATTTATCAAAGATATGCAATTTAAGTCGTCTGTCTATGTACATAGATCTCTTAAAAGATCATCGGCTATGGTGGGTGGGTTATTTTGGATGAGCATTCGAATGGAACGGTTGAACGGTTTTCTAATCGACTTGCGCACCTGCTTTCTGACAACATTCATCACCAAATTTATATCAGAGAACTGTGGAATCATCTCTCAAACTCTAATTGGTTTTCGGTAGTGCCAGGAAAAAAGCTGGTACGATGAGGAATGTCGAGTTGCGGTGGATAGAAAACAGACTGCCTACCTCGCAATCTCGCCATCGCCCACAATACTGAGAGCTGTGGAGGAAAGCAAGGCGCATTTGCAGAGAAAAAAAAATAAATAAATAGTCCAAAATGCATGAGAAAAAAGAGCTTGAGAAGCTGGCCAACAAAGGTAAAGATTCTGCTATTTATGGAAGATTTCAAGATTGGGGCAAATTTTGGTCTTGACCCTCGACTGAATTTATGGCGGAAACACTACTGAACGAAACATTAAGTGAACCCGAAACCTGAATCGCTGATGGCGGAGAAGACGTTACATTAGCCGAATATGAAGGGGCTGGAACTGATGGCCTGCCGGCAGAGCTACTCAAACATGGCGGTAAAGAGCGGTAAAGAGACGCATGAATAAGCCTCTTAAAATCGCCTATAAGGTATTGACGAGCAAACTGTCTGAAAGGCTAAAGCCCACCACTAAATCTAAATATTCACCATAAGTCAAAAATAAATAAAAATACCCATGAGAAAAGAATCGGTACAAACCAAATTTTCATCGATTTTAAAATTGACTTCGATAGCACAGTAAGAAGCTGCCTCTACGCAGCTATGCCTGAAATTGGTATCACTGCAAAATGTAAACGGCTCTAACGCTCACCAACATCAAAAGAGTAGTCGAAATTGGGAAGTAATACTCCGAGCCGTTCGGTACCAAACGAGGTCTCAGACAAGGTGAGTCTTTCTTTCTTTATCGTATGTATTCATCAATTTGGAGCCGGACAAAATAATAAGATCTGCAGTGCTAAATAGACTTGGTATAATCCTTCACAAGAATGTACAACTGCTAGATAGCGTAATATCTGCTGACGATATTGATATCAGAGGTCTTAACAACCGCACCGTTAGAGCAGTACTCACATTGGATGAGGAAACTAAGCTGATGGGTTTGGTTTTGGTTTGAGTTTGGTTAGGTGTAGTGAACGAGGGCAAGACAAAATATCTTCTGTCATCAAACAAATAGTCATCGCATTCCTGACTCGGCTCTCACGTCATTCTTGACTGCCATGACTTCGACTTGGTAGACAATTTCGTCTGTCTGGGGACCAGCATTAACACTAATAATAATGTCAGCTTTAATATCCAATGCAGAATCACTCTTGCCAGGTGCTACTTTAGGCTGAGTAGAGAACTGAAAAGTAAAGTCCTTTCTCGACGGACAAAAGCCAAGCTCTACTAGTCGCTCATAATTTCCGTCCCGCTAAATATTGAGACGATCTTGGAAGCTTTAGAGAGTAAAGTTTGGCGAACGATTTATGGTGCTTTACGCATTTACGACATTGACGTAGTTCAGCGTATGAAGAGACAGCGGATACGCTAGGCTAAGTTGTCCGAACGGTAGGAGGCGCTTTAGCTTTGAAAGGATCAGGTGTAGAGCAAGCAGTGCCTTCATCGATGAAGAATAAAAAAAATTTTAAGGGATCGTTTTCCATGTTGCCCTGTGATTTTGCTACCCATAAGTCTTTAAATATTCTTAATGACTCAAAAAAAAAAAAAAACGTGAGATATTTGCATAAATTTCACTTTGCCACAGCGTCTGCCAGCTAGCGAAAGTAATTGATTGTGTATGAAAATAAAATAAAAATATAATAAAAATCACAAGAAAAAATACACAACAAAATGTGCGCTCAATTCATCTAATTGCTACTTTCTCCTGCACTGCACTTCTTATTAAGTCCACAAAATCTAAGCAAAAATTAACATAAATCACTACACATACAATCACCAGCTATCCATCCATCTCATGGAGTTGGCAATAGACGACAGCGGCGACGAACAGTAGCATCTTCTGACCACACTATTATGCCTAATTACTAATTAAACATAATAAATTAATTGGTATACTGTTAACACCTGACAACACATACCGACCTACCTACAATACATACCTGCTGGCATGGTGGCACATAAAATGAGGGAAAATATAAACAAAACGCAGATAAAATAACAAATGCCAAACTAATAAAAAACAAAAAAAAAAAAGATAAGAAAGAAACTAAAACAGAAAAAAAATAAAAAAGAAAAAAAAAATAAAAACAACAAATTAATATTCAGTTAATTGTTTTCGTTGTTAATAAGCGACAACAAATATCAATTGCTATGGTCACCTATACACGTCGGCAGCTGTGTAGGTGGGTGTGTACATATGTATGTGAGTTTTGCTATTGAAATTCATACGCTTAATTATACCTCATTGATGGCCACTTGGCATTGTACTACTGATGTTGAATGGTTATTTATCGAGAATCATAAAGCTCGCAGATGGCGCCTTCAGGGCTAACGTTATTCACTGTTACAAAATTTGTCAATCAGCTGTTGCTTTGCTTTCGTCACACTTTCAACTCATACGCAAGAAAACAAGCGGTTGATTTTAACATCTCATGATTTTACCATTTAAATGCCTATTTGGCTATAAAACTAACTCAAAAAAAAAAAAAAAAACAGCAGCTGAGTTAAGTTCGTTTACCAATGACTTAAATTGGGTGCCTAAATATCACCAATTCTGTCGCCAAGAAAAACGACACAATCACTTGTTTGGAGGCATATGAGTTAAAAGCAGATTGCCTGATCACACTGACTAGCTGGAGTTCAGAAAGCCGAATCAGAGCGAAAGGAGTTGGATGATTTAGAATATCTTGGCCTAGAACATGTAGCAGGATAAATGAGGATAAGCCATAGACTGCGTGTTGAAATTTCCGGCATGTCCGCCAAAACTTACTACAAGCCATCTTTGCCCCCTGCGGGTTAAGGGTTCAATAATTTACCCGCGGTAAGGCATGCCTGTCATAAGAGACGACAAAAATCCAATAGTTCCCGCGACAGTCGGGTCTTTGTACCGGAACGACCCGGTATATTCCCCGCTATATTCCCCGCAATATTATTTAAAAAGAACTTTGGGGAATAATTTTGGAGGTCAAAACAACAACAATAATTAATTTTTTCCACTATCAACACGCTTGACTGGAGGTGGATTAAGCCGAAGGCAATTTTTGTGTCCACTAATGGAAAATAGGCGGTCGCGATACCCCAGTAGTTAGCATTATGCACCGAAATTCGGTAAGCCAGGGGTTCGCGACCTGGGTCAACTAATATCTAGAAGTTAAAAAAAATATTAATTTACATACAAAATTTTGCTAATTTTCTCTATAATTTGCCGCCGACCGTCGGCAGGGAATGTCAAATGTGTATTTCTGATAAAAAAAAGCATCTCATAAAAATTCATGGGACATTCGGAAGCAGCTTAAAATTAACTATAAGTCCGATATGTTGAAAAAAAAACTTCAGGACGCACACAACCAATTGGAGAAGGCGCCCGACTTAAAATCGTTTCAGCCGTTACAAAGAGTCAATTGTATGTATATGAAACATTTTTGATTTGACAGTTAAGTTTGGCAGATGCCCAAATGCATCTCTGTATTTTTGAAATCATAAAATAGATAAAATGGATAAAAATATCTGAATTTCTTTTAAAACTTGCGTAGCGCACAAATTTCTTTTTGAAAATGTATGCCAATGAACACTTTACCAAAACAACATCGAAATTATGACGTATGCACATAGAACAACAAAATATAATGGCGCAATCTGTTATATATATACTTGGGTATTTATGTATATGTACACATATCTACATGAAAAACATATACATTTATAGGAGAAATTCAATGTTTATATGTATATAATCCGCTACACGAAGGCGACAATGATGACTACTTCCACGCACGCCGCTAAAATTAACGGCTTCATTATGTTTGTCAATTAACACCCCGCCCAGCTCAGCGCATTGTATTAAATCAACTATGAAATTACAGTTGGTATTGTTTTTCTTATTGTAATACATATACATACATATATAAATATTTATTTATTGTTTTTTTTTGCGAGTATTTATTTATAACTAACAAATCAATCACATTTATTCATAAAGCAAAATATTTAAGTACAATAGACAGTAGACAGTGGCACTTAAATTTAATCACCAAAAAAAAAATAGCTATAAAATACAAAAACAACTAAAAATGTTTAGTGACTATTTTAACGAATCTTACTTATGTATATACTGATGATTCTCTACATACTATTATTTATTCTTTTAATTTCTATTATTTAATTCACCAAAACAGCTGTTCACAATTTCGCACCTTTACTACGGAATACGCTTATCGCATAAAATTCGGGCAATCGATATAATTTAAGACGTTGATGACTAAATTGACCATTGGCCAACGCCTTCACATAGAATATATCCTTCATGGTAAGTTCACGCGGCTCATTGTTCTCACCATCCAAACCGTTCAGATGTTGCTTGGTTGGCCGATAGGCTTTACGCTTCAATAATTTCACATAAATTATATTATTGCCATCATCATCATCATCATCCAATTCGCGACCTTGCAGTTGTAAATTTCGTGGCAACGGGTAGAGTAGTAGTGGTTGTATGGGCAACACTTCGTTGGGTTGTTGTGCGTAGTCCAATGCCTGTGCTGTGCCTAAGGACTCAATTGTGGGCAATGGTATAGCTGAGGTGATGGTTGTGGTGAGTTGGTGCACTGTGAGGTAGCTGATGACTATGCTGATGATTTGGTGATTGGCGAGCTGAGCGTTGAGTTTGAGAAATTAAAAAAAAAATTGAATTAGTGTTTTTTGGCACAAGAAAATATATATGTAGGTATGTATGTATTTAATTTCGAAATATTGATTGAAGAAGTATCTTGGGATTTTTGAAAAAGATAACAAATAAAAGTAACAAATTGTAAGCATAACAGTATTTCTTCAGTAAGTGTTTTTTTCTTATGTCAGAAGACTCAATCATTTAAAGAAGAACCGGAGAGATTGACGAATGTTCCAGGAGTTGAGCTTCGATGTTTACACTTCTTGTGTGTCTTATTCAAAAGCAAAACTTATGACACTACAATGCGTGTTTGTATATTCAGCTCAGAAGAGTTCAGATTTCAGAGTCATCAGATCAAGCCGGTTCCTATAAACGTTTAACACAACATAAAATTTTATGTCCAAAATTTTTTTTGAAATATCTCAAAAATTGCCTTTTAACACATCCGACCCAGGCTATGTTGTGGTTAAACCACATTTACACTTATAGATTTGAATAAGAATAAAAACTATATTGACGAAGATACAGATGCAGAGGCTATTGTAGATTACATTCAACCCCATTAGCTGACTGAATTGTGATTTTCGCCCGAGCTTCCCTTTCAATTTGTGCTACACGTCTTGATTTTACTGTTCCACACAAATGCAGGGACCTACAGTTTACAAAGGAACTTCCAATAAAAGGTGTTATTTTGAATAGCCTGATATTCCGGTAGATGTCCCTTTCGAATATAGACTTTTTTGACATTTGACAAGTAAAAACTATGCACGCAGTAAAAGTGGAACGATACACGCTTCAGCAACGCACTGAAAGTATTAAAATTCCCTATAAAAATGGTGCAAACCTGACAGAGAAGGTTCGTAAAACTAAAAAATTCTGCGGTCGCCGTGAAGCACCTTGTCGGACCGCAATACAGAAATTAGTGGAAAAGAGGGAAGCTGTTAGAACAAAAGTCATGAATAAAACACTTATTTTGCATAAAAACCTGGGTCTTAAGGCTTATAAAGTTCGGTTAATTCATGAACTCAATCCAGCCGCTAATTAACAATGTCGTGTCTTTGCAGATTGGGTCCTTGAAATAAATGAAAATTACACGGAATTTCTTCGAAAAATCATCTTGACTGAGGAGACCCATTTCCAACTCGATGGCTATGCCATTAAGCAAAAATTTCGCATCTGAGATTCAGAAAATCAAAGATTTATTGTTGAATCTATCTTCGACATGTAATTGTTCGGCGCCGTTTTGGGTCCGGCGGGGTCATTGGACCTTAATTTTTCAACAATGAAAGGATTGTACTATAGAGTGATGATTAATTATTTTTTATGGCCGAATTTGGGCGGTACTGATCTGAATAACGTATACTTTCTAGAGGACGGCGCTTTGAGCCACACCGGACCGTGTTATCTCTCGAAGAGGTGATCGGAAATGCCCACCGAGATCTTGTGATTTAACACCTTGCAAGTTCTTCTTTTGGGGTAACTTTAAATGTATGGTCTACGCCAACAGTCCAATGTCGACACAAGCGTAACTCCAGGTTGATAGAAGTTTAAAATTTTTTTACTCTCATTCAACAATATAAGCCATAGTAGAGTAGAGCATTATATAGTAGTTTCTTTACAAAATTTTAGTTGCATAAAGCATAAAGTGTCAATTATTGCGTAATGTGCTTTTGAAATATTTATTTTTTTTTAGCAATTTTTTTTATTTTTCTCACAATATACATTTTGGAGGACAAAATGTTTATTATTTTCATTGCGTATTGATTTTTTTTATTATCATTTTGCAAAAGCGCTTTCGAACATTGTTTAACACTTTGAGCGCCATGCCAATAAAAAGCAAACGATGATTTATACGACACATTGCTTACTTTATAATAAATATCATAAATACATAAGGAATAACACTTGGAAACTCGAAAACTTTTTAGAGTGAAATATTCAACATAAAAATTAACATTCATTGCAATGATTCGCACTTCAATTACTACTCAAACCTGTATGTATCCACAACACCATCGAAGGGTAAAAATTATTTTGAAAATTGTTTTATAATAATTAAAATAGAATCAAAAAATTATTATTTTTTCTCGCTCTTAACCACAATAAAAACTTAAATCGTACCATTTTGAAATTTATTTTTTAGTTTTTACAGTAAATTCTTTCGATAAAATTATTATTTTTCACGCTTTTAAAATATCACTTTGTGTCCTTTTGTGATAAAGAAATTTCGTTGCGTTAACTTTAGTAAAAATTTATTGTACGAGCGCTTGCGTGAGTTACGCGCCAAAGTCAAATCTTAACTGACACTACGCACGCGCAAGGCCGTTGTAACATCATTTACCGCAAAGCGCCTGCGCAGCGTGTTTGAACAGCAGCAGCATAGGAGCACAATGCGCAAAATAAATATAAGCATACTGTACATACATACATAGTCTGGTCGCTGATAAATGAAAGAAATATATTTACATACACATGTAGTTTCATAAACATAATACAAAAAAAAAAAAATAACAACAAATACTAAAAAATACTACTTGAAGTGTTTGCAAATTGGTGGTGAAGATGCCAAGCATCTTAGTTGGTGACTTATTTGTAGTTGCAAATATGTACAGAGAGGTGAATCTGTGTTTGAAGTTAAGCAAACAAAAAATCTGTATGAATATATTCGTGTAACTTTTATTTACGCTTTGTACAATCGTATTTGTACTTAAAATACTGCTGTGAGTCAATAGACAGCGAATAACAATAATAGAATAAAAACATCAGAGCGAAATGCGCTTGTTTTTGTTTGTTTTGCGTTTTTATTTAGTTTTAAAATTTTTTTCCTCAACTGTCCACAGGTGCGAGCATTCAATGTTGAAGATGAATGACACTAAAAATATCAATTAAAAAGCTTCGAAATTAAGATTTCGTTGGTTGCTTAAATGATTTGAGCAAATTTAAATATACAATACTAATATAAAATAAAAATTAATAACTGAAAAATAAATAAAATTTAAATGAAACTAAATTAACTCAAAAAAAAAATAAACAAATAACAACAATAAAATAAAATAAAATAAAATAAAATAAAATAAAATAAAACAAAATAAAATAAAATAAAATAAAATAAAATAAAATAAAATAAAATAAAATAAAATAAAATAAAATAAAATAAAATAAAATAAAATAAAATAAAATAAAATAAAATAAAATAAAATAAAATAAAATAAAATAAAATAAAATAAAATAAAATAAAATAAAATAAAATAAAATAAAATAAAATAAAATAAAATAAAATAAAATAAAATAAAATAAAATAAAATAAAATAAAATAAAATAAAATAAAATAAAATAAAATAAAATAAAATAAAATAAAATAAAATAAAATAAAATAAAATAAAATAAAATAAAATAAAATAAAATAAAATAAAATAAAATAAAATAAAATAAAATAAAATAAAATAAAATAAAATAAAATAAAATAAAATAAAATAAAATAAAATAAAATAAAATAAAATAAAATAAAATAAAATAAAATAAAATAAAATAAAATAAAATAAAATAAAATAAAATAAAATAAAATAAAATAAAATAAAATAAAATAAAATAAAATAAAATAAAATAAAGCAAAATAAATTAATTTAAAATAAAATAGAATAAAATAAAATAAAATAAAATGAAATCCAATAAAAAAGTTAATCAAAGTAAATTATTATAAAATAAAAAATAAATTAAAGTAAAAAATAATAAAAAATTTTTAATAAAAAAAAAATTAAACAACATAAAAAATAAAATAATTATAGTTAATTAACATGCCATTAGATGTACATGAAAAGTATAATAAAATACTATTCAAACAATATGTTCTGTTTTTTATGCTTTCTTATAAGGTGAGTCTTGTCTTGTCACAATAATCATTTACATACAAGTATTGCTTCGGTAATTGCTTATGCAAATTTTTGTGTATTTGCACTTTTAAGTCGTCAGTAGATGGTATTCAGTCATGCGCGCACTTATATATCTAATTGCCGGCTTCTCTAATGTTTTTTAAAACTATTAATATACTAAGTAATATTTATTATCCCATGTGTATTCCGCATATTTGTCTTGTTTATTAACCATAAAATTTGTATTCTTAAAATGATCATCGCTTTTGATTTATACATATGTATGTTTAAGGACTTTGAAATATTAATAGCATTTTTTTTAGACTAAAAACAAAACATGTGACTAGCAAATAAGTGAGATTTAATAATTTAATTTGATTGATTTACATGCCATTTGCTTTTCCTTATTACAGCGACATTATAAATATTCCAAATATAATATATATGTAATATATGAATATATGATAGATTTGAATCTGCAGATTATTTATCATCCCTCATTTAACCGAGCTCTGTCCTAAAATAAAAGCTTCTCATGAAAATCCATCAGCCGTTTCGATATAGGCTTAGTCTAAAACTTGGCCTCCCACTATTTTTTGGAAAATCATCATATCAAATTGAAGGCAGAAAATCACTTTGCTGGTAAAAAAAAGGAAAACATAAAACAAAGTAATTTATATTGCTAATATTTTTATTTAAATTTTTTTTTAGAAAAAAAAACCTTTATCGACAAACACTTTCACTAGTAGCGTAGGTGGTCTTCACTTGCCGCTGCGTAAGTTTATCTTTCTTTCATTCAATTTATGCTTTCACGCTTCTACTTAAAATTCTACTCAATTCTACGGCATTTTAACCATTCAAAATTTGTTTACATTGTACATTTTATAATACCCCGAAAGCGAGTGATGTGAATTGCACGTCTCTTTCTGAGTCGCAGACTAGCCAGCAGCAATGGGTAAATAATATTCTTGCACAAGCAACGCGTTGAATAGCAAACGAATTAAAAGTGTCATCCAAAAATAAGTGTAAAAAAAAGTAAAACAAAGTAAAAGAGAAAAATAAAATCAGTTCAAAGCGAAAGTAAATTTCTGTTGCAAACATTTGAACAAAAAGCGAAAAAAATGCGAATTGCTTTCTGTGCATTGGGCATGGGGAGAAAACCACATGGATTCCAAGTAGTTGTTGTTGCAAGTAAACATCTGTCGCTTGCAAATTTGAATTGGAAATCAATTAATCGCCCACGATTTACAGCTTTAAACTGAATTAAGAGCGCAAGCCAAATGTCTTCATCAGCAGATTTTAGCATAATTTTGAAATATTTCTTGGTGCGCTGGAGTGCGGTGCTGTGCTCGAGCTTTTAGCTTTACTACTTATGAATGGACTTAAGAGTTTGTGCTTCGGAAGCTAAGTGTGGCATTTAATGGCGTTATAGAGTTGAAGTTAGAAAGTAGAAAAATTTAAATACTGAGCTTGTGTAGCTGAAGCTCTTTTAGCGCAACAAAATGTTTTCGTTCATTTTTAGTACTTTTTGTGCTAACTGAAGTGAAGCGGATGATGACCCAATAAAAAATAAATTGAAAACAAAAAATTAAATTTAAAATAAAATTAAAGTAAATAATAATAAACCCTCTACCGGCCCCATCGACGCGAGGGACGACATCCGCATAATGTACGGGATTTGCCGAGTCATGATTGGCAAGAGTTTGTTGAGTGTCGAGATTTAAAACCGTTCAGCTACAGAAAAAAATATTTATTCAAAAGCTGAAATTTAGTAGTTAAGGAAATCGTAAAATTTAATTGTTGAGAGAAGCAAGAATAGTTTGTTTTTGATGCTGAAAAGCGAGTCTGAGAGGTCGAAGGAGCTGGAATGAAATTTTAAATCGTATGACAAACGGTGAAATGGTACAATCAGTTCGTAATTTGTTTTACATCACTCAGCAGCCTAAGCTTCTTAGATGAACGATTTAGATCATCCAAGTTAGTTTACTCTGACAAGAGCCTAGAACTACAAATAGATCCATTGAAAAGTTTGACTACGAGCATAGTGTCTAACATTTCTCGGTTGGTATAGAGAGGAAGGTTTATCGTAGAGTTCCAACGGAAATGCCTTAACAGACTCTAAATTATCGCAATGAACTTGATAATTAGGGTTCCATATTCTAACATTGCCCACACCAAATTCCTATAAAGGGCTTTAGTTACTTAAGGGCTCTTTAACCATTGTGAACATCTTTTGGCAAAGGCAAAAGCATTTTCAGCTTTTAAGACTGTGATAATTAAAATGAAGATGGAACTTGAGCTTAGAGCCCAACAAACTCCCAAACTCAACAATTTTATACACTTGTTCTAGATTACAGTTATTCATTGTATAAGGAGAAAATTAATCAAGTCTTCACGAAAAGCACATCGCCTCACATTTCGGAAGGTTCAAAGGCATGTCGTTGAAAACCTCAAAGCTTGAAAACGTTTGATTGTATGCTTGTTTACTGTGATTGCCGACCCTAACCGGTAGATTATACTCAAAATTTGTTTGTTTCTATGATTCCTTGGAAGGTTTCTACGAACAATTTTTTTCGGGAAGCGGACCAGAGACTTACCTATTTGAAAAAAAAAAACGTATTTATGGCACTTTCTACTTAAAATTTGGTACGTGGGTGGTTTTTGCTTAGATTACAATGAAGACTACTCTTCTCTTCTGGAAGAAGACTAGGTTGAATTTACTTCAAATACTGTGAATAAGTGACTTTTTATTTAGATTAGCAGACATACTACTCCTCACTCCAGAATCTAGATCAGAGACTGATCTACCGACCCGAAATCGGCCGCATTACAAGGTGGGTGCATAAGAATCTCCCGACCAAACTCTCACCGCTTATGTCGAGGCAATATCGATAAGCATGGACTGACATTGTCTGTCCAAATGAAATAAAATTTCCCTCTTTTGGTCAAATCTTCAAACTGTTTTTTCCCTTCACAGCTTCGAAATAAGAGTTTGGCAGTAGCGGAGTTGCTCGGAGTAGATGATCGCTTGCTTATACCACCAAACACAAAAAAACATCCTCTTGGAGATCGTTTTTGCCGACTCACTGCCTTTGGACCACGACGGCTTTCCTTTGACTTTGTTGTAAGTGATCCACTTTTCAATACCAGTCAACATCCGTTTCAGAAGTGAGTCAATTTTGTTGTGTCGATTTAGATGGAAATTCGATTCATGCTTTTTTCCCGTTATGTGGCACCCATACATCGAGCTACTTCGTATATCAAGCATTTTTCAAGTGATTACAAATTGTTTACCTCTTGAGCAATTGAAATAGTACTCCTATGATGATCAAATCCCATTATTTTATCGACATTTTTTACACCTTTTATATAAAAATTATCAGAATGAAATAAACGAAGCCAAAATTATGCATGACTGACTGTGACAATAGCAAGACCATAAAAATTATTCATATTTTTCAGCTGCCTTACTTACGATTTCACCTTTATCGAAGAAAAATTGTAGATTAAATCGCTTAAATACTACTAAGTTAAGCGATCAACACTTCTTCCATTATCTTTTTTAGCACAAAATATCATCTTGCTAACGCCATCTTTCGTAATCCAAAGACATTTATAGAACACGATATACAGCACGCTGGGGCCATCCATTGCAAAAATAATGATTATCTTGGTACTGGAACTAATAAAAATGAAAACAATATTAGATGATAGTTAATTAGGGCCTTTTTTTGTTACGCTTTGCAATATTAATAAGGAAAAAATCCTGACAAATACTAAATATTAGAATCAATTTTGATTCATAATGATGGCAAAATTTGCATTACAGTGGAGTGGAATGGGGAATTCATGGACTTTTCAAACTCATTTCAATATATTTAAAGAGTCCAAAATTATTTTTTTCATAAACAATTGAAATGAATAGAAATGTTGAATTACAGCATTCTTTTGACTACAAAAATAAATCCTAAGTCGCTACACGCTGCATAAACAAAACGAAAGAGATTTTTTTATTTTACTTTTGTTTTGCTGTGCAAAAAATCAAAACGCATTTTTATAAGCCGCTTAAACTTCTTTTGATCGACCGACACAAGTTTTGCTTCTGTCCTTTCTCTCGCTTAGGGATATTTAAATTGTGTTTCACTTTGTATTACTTTGTTTCTACTTTCCTTCATTCGACAAGACAAGCGCGGGCGTCTTGCATACGTTTCTCAATAATAAACTATAATAACAAAAAATCCAAAAACCAAAATATATTTTCTTGTAACTGCAGAGATATTGACTTTACGCATTTCTATATTTCAACGCTAGCTTGCGTGTCTACTAGGAAAATTCAAAACTTTGAAAATAAATATTTCGTTTTGTTTCCATTCATTATTTACCTTTACCTAAGCATTTTCCCCTGACTTTGATTGTAATATAATGATTTATTTATTTTTTTAATACAATTTACTTTGCAGTGATGTTTAAATTCGAGTGTGTCGAAATTGAAATTATCACAGCGGACTCACGTCTACGGAAGGAAGTGCCGCAGTCAATATTATACAAACGTTTTTATAATTTACGACCGGAACCATAGGTATTTACAGTCTACTGAAGAAAATTATATACATATATACGATACTTAAATATGTAAGTCTTTTATTTTTTGTTATTAGTTTTGCATATTTTTATGTGTACAAAAGTAGGTGCAATAATAAAACGAAATATTGAATCAATAAAAGATTTTTGCGGTTTTTTGTATATTTTGAATAAATTTCTTTATGAAAATTAATTTTAATCAAGTTCACCATTATCATCTAAAACTTTTAAAATTTAATTTCAATCAAGTTGATCATTATCATCTAAAACTTTTTGTCTCTTTTCGGGTAACTTATAATTCAGTCAATATAGAATTTGCATTGTTTATGATTTTAAACGGTCGCCCAAGTTTTTTTAAGTCAAGAGAGTTTTACCGAGATCGAAGATCCGGGCTTCCTTATCAAGCTTCCTCAATTTTTTGCCTGGTCATCGAAGATGATCTATTGATCAAGGCTTGATTTTTTCCCCAATCACACTAACAAAAAAAAAATAAAAGAAAAAAAATAAATAAAATAAAATAAAATAAAATAAAATAGAATAAAACAGAGAAAATAAAATAAAATAAAATAAAATAAAATAAAGTAAAATAAAATAAAATAAAAACCCGCAAAGAAAAGAGTTTTTTAGTAACCTGCACGTGGCACATACCATTGATGTGACGACACAATGATGATGCGGAAGCCATTTTTCTACTCCTCACCCGCAAAAAAAGTAAAAAATTAATTTGGATCACCCGCATAACATCACATCATATCGCAAAGCACGGTGTGATATCACATCACATGATCAGAAATCATGTGACATCTATCCACTTTGATTCGATTTTCACTTATTACACCATCGCCTTAAATCAACGAACAGTGTATGATATGTCACACCCATTGCATCCAATCACGAAGGAAATGCTAAATAATATTTCGAGTGTGTGTTGTACTTCCTTTTATAAAAGAAGTGCTGGAAATGACCCTTTGTTATATAGAAAGGCACGGAATTTATTTTTTCTAATTATTCACGCCATTAAATGGAAGCGAAATAATTTTATTAAGCTTGTGTTAATTTGTTCCTTTTAACATTAAAGTTGTAAACAACAAATATTAACCTAACTTTTTTTCATTTATCTTGCAATAAAAAATATATGTATGTTTAGAAAATTTTAAATTATTTTTAACAAATCGCTGACTTGGCATATTTTAAGGCGCACATTGTTTTAGTGTGGTGAGTTGTATGTTTGCATGTGCTGGTTGATTGTGTTTTAAATGCATGCCATTATTTATGTTAATTAAACAGTACAACAATTTTTATTATATTAAAAATAAAAACAACAACTAAGCGCTCGTACGATATGTATGTCAAAGCAACAACAAAACAACTCAACAAAACTAAAAATCTAACAAACGGAAAAAACAACAAAATCTGACCCAAGTCGACCCATAATGACCGCACGCCAGCCCAGTAGCTAAATATTTTGCAAGACTTTATGTTGAACTAAAGCCACCGGGCGAGGGTGGCAAAGTAGGCTGCGTAGGATTATGGGTCATAAAGTTTCACATAAAAAAAAAAATTTCCTTGTTTTTCCTTGTTGTTCGCCTGAACTTTATTCATTTGGCACTTGTTGTTTTCTAAATGAACGCCTTTTTTACTTGTCTCACCGGCTTCGTAGTTTGCGAGTTGGCATTTTTCCGAGAGGATGTAAGGCAGACAAAGAGTTACACGATGGAGGGGAATGAGTGGATGGTGAAAAAAATGAAAAATTATTTTTGCAGGCAACAATCGCGTGAGTTAGCCGGCAGGATTTTATGTTCTATCACATAAACACAAACGCGTTTTGCAAGCCATTTTATAATGCATATCAAATATGTTTATGTATGTAGTTGTGTTGTTATTTTCCACATGTCTATTGGTGCACACCACACCAAACAAACATATGTAAGCATTTTTCCACTTCCATGCTTAATTACAGCTACTTGACTTCCGGTCCCACTTTCTTTTATCCTGCCTTCGTCGAACTTCCATCTAGTAGTTCCCTGGCTTCCTGTTTTGCTGCATCGTTATGCGCCTACAAACTCTGTACCACCACAATTAATCATAAACGAAGCGTCCGTTTGACAGAGTAAGAACGTTTAAAAGGAAGTTTAAGTCCATTGACCAGGTCGTGAACTAAGCAAAATGAGAATAGACTGCAGATATAGTGTAATGTGTTTTGAGACACCCATTAGTTAAGGTGGGGCGTGGAATATGTAAAATATTAGAGCAGAGGGGTAATTGTTGACAAGGTGTGTTGTGTGCGGCTCATTCATTTCGAAAAGACAGGTAGATATTTACATCAAGTAGGTCATCTGTGTGGTGAATAAGCGTAGTTGTTGGTGCAGGTAGATGAAGAAGAGTATGGAAAAAGACTATTGTGACTTACAGTTACAATGCATTTGAATAAAAAGTTAAGCTCAAACGAACATACTCATTGAATAACCATCTAAGTATTCCACATTTGGTACGTCTGAACACCCGAAGAACTTATTTTTCTTATTAATAATAAAAGTAGCGTTCACTCGGTTATAGCCGAATCAGCAATAAAGGATGAATATAACTGAATATTTAGCTGTATTGTAGAGATGAGAGCTTCCCATTATGTCTTACAAATGATTTGGCGCGGCTGGCTCCTATAAATTCGAGCCGAAGGATCCAATTTTGGGCCACATATAGGAGCAATTGGGACCGTATGTCAGCACCGTATATTTTCCTCCAATTGTCTTGGACTTATTTGCGTAGACAAGCGAATTCACATAAACCCTCAAAAATTGTCTAGTTGTGTTATATTGCACGATCGTAAAGGCCACGCCACAGGCACAGGCGCTCAGCAAAAGTTTTCTTCAATAAATTGCTTACTTCGTTGGCTGTATTGTATGAAGCGCCCGTCTTGTTGGAACTAAAGGTCGTCAACATCAGCATCTTTTATAATAACGCTTCCCATCGACTCTCATGTTCTGACTTTAGTTGAGTTGATGCGGTTGCTGATTAGAGTGAACAGCGCACTTAGGCTTGAAGTCCGGTTGCGATACCGCTGTGGAGTCCTTCTCACCTTCTCAGATGTAAGAACCATTTCGTGTTCCTTATGAACGATGCGTTGCTACGTCAGCCAGGCAGTAAAAGAGAAGATGTTCCGTCTGTGGTGCTCGTCATCCTTTCAGCTACGATAAAAATCATTTGAAAATGATCCCACTACCCTATTGTGGAGTCCCATTAAACAGTGTCCAGTTAGTATCCCCTTTGTTGAATTAATGGTAAACCAGCCTAAGTGGATTAGATCCCATAGTCTTCAGGCGTACAGCACAGCCAAACCATCTAATGTTTGTTGTTTTGGTGACAGCCAGCTTAAGTCTGAGTTTTGTCGTAGACAAGGCTGAAGAGTTCTGATAGCAGCTTTTATTTTTATTATTAGCTCGATTTGAAAATAACTCAACTTCACTCGTGGCTTTGCTCGGCAACCACACTGCTATTTAAGCCCAAGAATTTGTTGTTTTTCATGCAACCGGTTCCATTGACGGTTACGTTCTCGCCAGCAAAAATTTTGAAGAAATATGGACCATTGACCTACCAGAGACTTACAAGCCACACCAAATCTTTGTTTTCTCTGAATGAAATGGCAACTATTGAATCGCTATAGATTGCTCTTTGTCTCAAATTTGGCAAATTTTTCTTGTTTGCATACCCCTTGAGCCCGAAATGGGCCTCATCGGTGAACAAAATTTAGCTTGAAAACATCTGATCTTATTGGAACTTTTCCAGAGCCCATAGAGCGAAGCGATGTCGCATGGGAAGGTCGAATGGCTTTATTGAAGCTGTATTTTGTACGCTTTCAGTTTAAGATCTCGTTGCAAAATGCTTCAAGTCGTTCAACACGTCAGTCCGAGTTACTGCAAACGGCGCTGAATCGACGTTCCACAGTCTTCG